GAGCGTGACCATTCGGACTTGTGTTGAAATAACTGCTCATTCAAAAACAGGCAGTCCGATGCGCGATAGCACTACGTTTCGTAAACGTCAAACAGAATGTTGGATCGCGCGTCGTTACGAATTTACGGCGTCCATATTGGCGTCCCAGAGCGCCGTCAAGCAAATTTAACGGCCTAGATGAGTCTTTACGGGCGGCCCAGATCGGCGCACTTTTCCACATCATAGAGGCCGTTTCCTTTCTGGCGAATTATGGCCTGCGATAAGTCGGCCTCTGTTCCGTGATGCCGGGCGTGCAGGGCGTGCCCCGGCCTCGGCCCTGCCAAGCACATTGCATGCACGCTGCCAGACCCGTTAGGTCATGACGGAGGGAATGCCATTTCGGGAAACCAACGCCCACCCAGAGCCATTTTTCTCGACGTGTGGATACGCGGTCCGAGACCTCCGAGACCTCCAAGACCTCCGAGACCCCCGAGACGCAGAGGAAGCGGGAAGTGGGGCGCCGGCGCTCTGATCCTCCCTGATAAGGGCGAAATGATTCCACGCGCGGAGCGGGCTGCGTTCATGTGGCTCGGGGGACGCGAAGTCCGAGAGCGCACCCAGCAGCCCCTGCAGCCTCGTTCCGATTCGTCACCGTCTCTCTCGCACCGCTGCGGGACGCCCCATGAGTGCGAGAGGGTCGGCGAGCGCCGTTCAGGGTGAGCGTGGTCTCGGGGATAAGTAAGGCCGGCGAACAGCCCGGGGAGCGGATTAGTCGGGGTGGGGCTTGGCGGGGTCGAAGGCGTTGCGCGCCGTTGCGACAAGATGGCCGAGCGGCGGGGCGGGGCGCGGCGCGGCGCGCAGTGGGTGGGGGCCCGCGCCCGCGGCGCCGGGCCAGCACGCCAGGGCCGACTTGGCAGCCTCGCGCTCCCCAATTATGATGACAAGATCGAGCCCGGTCCGCCGGGCGCTGCGGGGCCGAGCCCAGTCGGACGTTCATGAGGGCGCTAAGGGCCGCCATCTTGTTCTCGGTTCCCTTGGTTCCCCTTCGTCCGGCACTGCGTCATCGGCGTCGTCGGGCTGTCGCCGCAAAGTGCGCGAGAAATCACGGTGCTGCCGCGCCGGTCCGTGCCGGTCCGCTCACGGCACTTCATGCTTCAAAAATAAGGGCGGCGTGTTATGATGGCGGGAGAATGATTTGGATTCTACTCGCGGTGGCGCCGCCGAGACACACACCGAGTGCAGCCACACCGCTTGGTTTATTTCTATTTCCGCCTCTTCCTACTCTAACTCAAATAAAGGCCTGCGAGGAGGGAGCTTGTTTAGCGTGATTATTTGTTATCTACCTGCGCGGGCTTCTGTTTTATTGCCCTCCGGCCCGTCCGTCGCGCGGGCTGCTTGGACACGCCGTGGCGATTCAAGTCTGCCGCCCGCCATAAATACTGGGGCTGCCTGGCCGCCTTGCCGGGCCGCCTGCCTGCCTGCCAGCCCTGCCTGGCCGCCTGTCACAATGCCGTCAAAGCGTCGACCGTTATTGAGGGTCCTCCCTCCGTGATTGCACGGTAGCGCTGCCAGTGTCCTGGACCGCGTCCTGGACTGTGTCCTGCCAGGCTTTCTTGTCTTTCTCGTCGTCGCGGTCGTTACGATGGCCAGCGCGGCAGCACGGCCAGCACCACGCCGTGCCGCGCACACTGAGTCCATTGTTCTAGGCGGCGATGGTGATTTGGTGATTCACGCACCGTGATTCCCTGGGCCGGGGTTTTAACACGGATCACTGTTGTGTCAGGGACGTTCGCCGTGGTAACAGGCTGGTAACGTGACGTCATCGCCGCGCCAATCGGGCCGGGACGATCCCAGGGGAATGAGGACCGTCCCTCCACCCCGTTCGCGCGGCGCCGTGGCGCGATGCCACGCGATGCGCTTAGACTGGGGACTCTTCAAACGAAACTCGGACGAAACTCATGATGCTCGGACACCGTCGTGAGTCCCGCACGCGGTGGCCCATGGGGCGTGCGGTGCGTTTCATCACGACTCCGGGTTTAACGATTTAACGGGGAGACGAATGGGCGGCAATCGGCGGCCCGAAGGGCCCGAAGGGTGCAAGGCGCTGCGGACTCATCCCGAGCGGAAGCTCTCTCCCTCGCACCACGGAGCGTCCCGCAGGGTGCGAGAGAGAGAGAGAGAGAGAGAGAGAGAGAGAGAGAGAGAGAGAGAGAGAGGGAGAGAGGGAGAGAGAGAGAGAGAGAGAGAGAGAGAGAGAGAGAGAGAGAGAGAGAGAGAGAGAGAGAGAGAGAGAGAGAGAGAGAGGCCACTCGGAAGCAGCCTGCAAAGCTCTGCACGGCGAAAGGCGGGCGAGGCGGAGGCGAGGATAACGCTGTGGTGAAGGCGGAGGGGGGGGGGGCGTCCCCGGGGCAACATCACGCTTAGATTATAAGCCCGCCCGTCGGAGTTACCCACCCTCCCGCCTTGGCTGCGTTGCTGGCTGCGCGCTTACCCGGGGCGTGGCGGGGCGTGGCGGGGCATATTGCCTGTAGCGAGGTGCTGAGCGGGGGCCGCCCTGGTCCTTATTAAAAAGTAATGACCGCCACACTGTACGCCGTGCCGCCGTGCCGCCGTGCCGCCGTGCCGCGGAGCAGTTCAAGGAGGCCTTGCTCGCCATCTCGAGGGCAGCGCCAGCGGAGAGGCGGAGCCTGGGGCCGAGCCTGGCCGAACCGCAACTCGCGGCCGGCACTATGGAAGGGCCTCCAGGCCTGCTCCAGGGTTCCGCTGGTTTCGCTGGTTTCGATCCCGACGCGCTCAAAGGACCTCCACACCATCAGCCCCGCGCCGCGCCGAGCCACGTCGCGAAGGCCATGATTAATCTCGGGGAGGCCGCGCGCCGCACCCCTTCCGTCGTCGACCACTTAAAAGATGACTCTGCAAAAAAAAAAAGAAGAATCAAATCAAAATAAATAGGCGGCGGTGATTCTGCACGCGTCCTCCCCCTTGTCAACCCTCAAAACAATTAGCAGCGATGTCGTGAACCAGGCGGAGTAACGTGTCCGTGCGCCTGTCTGTGAGAGTGTGTGTGTGAGAGTGTGTGAGTGTTTGTGTGTGTGTTTGTGTCCGCGCGGATGGAGCGGGGAGCAAAGAAAAAAGAGAGAGATAAAAAGTAGTTACTTCCTCTTCATCCGTTTCATGGCCTTTTTATACTGGCGGGGTGGATGAGGCGCTCGCAGAAAGGGGAAGCGGCTTTTCATAGACACCGGGGGGGCGGCGCGGGCGCGGGCGGGGCGGGGCGGGGCGGGGCGGGGCGGGGTGAGGGGCCCACCATCCTGCCTGCAAATGATTCGCGATAATGAACCAATCCAAGCGGCTGAGTGCGGAGAGAGCCGGCAAGGCAGCGGAGCGGCGAGGCCCCGGCGGGAAAAGAGGGCGCGGCCGAAGGGAGAGAGGGAGAGAGAGGGAGAGAGAGGGAGGCAGAGGGGGCCCCAATTAGCCGCCTGAGCCCCGCGGAGCGAGAGAGAGCGAGCAGAGGGGAAGGCGATGAGCGGTGGGCTACATGCGATCGACTCTCTTTGCCTCTCTCACTCTCTCAGCAGCGCCGCGTCGCGACCGTTTCTATCGTGTCATCCTCTCTTCTTCTCCTTCCTTTTATTCTTCCTCTTCTTCCTCTTCTTCCTCCGTCGGTGCGACTCTGGACCCCGTTTTCGCAGTGGTCGAGCCGCGGGGCCGCGGAGCCGCTGAGGAACGTTGACACAGATGGCTCCATTTGCATTTCAATCACGGTCCCGCCATACCAATTTGGCTATGCAAATTCCAGCATCCCAGCCACTGCCACACTGCCAGATAGCCGGCCTAGCAGGCGCACCAGGCACACCGCGGCGCCACCGCAGGGCCGCAGGGCCGCAGGGCGTGTTCCGAGTTTCAGCGTCTCAGCCCTTCAGACCTTCGGGGGTGGGGAGACGGATAGCGGCTACCTGTCGCCCTCTGCGCTTCAGCTGCAGCCTTCGGTGAATTTATCAAAAATTGACCAATCGTAAAACAAGGGAAAACAGCAAAACAATTGTATTAGGTGATGCTACGTTGTGTGAGAAAAGTGCAAAGTGCATTCTTGCGATGTTTCTCGGGCAACTTTCCCGTCATGTCCTCGGATTTTCCCCGTCCCCGGCGGCACTGAGGGAGCACTTGATAGGCCCGAGGAGGAGAAGGTCCTCTCGCTGCGCTTGGCTTGCTTGGCTGGCTGGGCCTCGCGCTGGGCCCCGCTCCCCCTGCGCGGCGGGGCGGCGGCAGAGAAGTGAACATGCACCGGATTGGTTCTGCGAGGCCGTGCGCCGCCGAGCCGCCGTGCCGCGCCCTCCAACATGCTGTCTCTCTCGCACTCGAGGCACGTCTCCAGCGCGGTGCGAGAGAGACAGCGCGACGAGGCAGTGTAGTGGCGGCAGAGGCAAGACGGGCCGCAAGGCCGGAAGTAATGCATACTGATATCGCAAATTAGGAAGGCGGATGCAAAATGCAGCGCAGAGGCCGGGCAGCCAAGCCAGCGGCAGCCAGCCGGGGTGTCGTGCATCGTGCGGCAGTCCAGGCTGGTCCAGGCAGTCCAGGCGGGGCGGGGCGCGATCAAGCCGCTGCTGCAAAACAAAAACAACACTCGCTTTTATGTGCCGAGTTGGGGTGGGGCGCGACGGGGCAGGGCGAAGGGGAGAGAGGGACAGCGGATGACGAGGCGGGGGAAGGACTGAGGAGGGCGAAGGCGAAGCCGAGAAGGCGAGAAGAGGGCAGAAGAGGGCCGCCAAAGCGAAGCCAAAGCGAAGGCGACAGCGAGACAGCGAAGGAGGGCGAGGAGGAGAGTATTCAACCATCCCGCCCCTACACATATCCGCCAGCACCCCGAATTTCTCTGCACCGCCCCACGGCACGGCAGGGCACGGCAGGGCACGGCATGGCAGGGCAGGGGGTGGCGCCACCGGAGCGCCACGGACCTCGGCTCGACGCGCTTGGGGAGCAAGGGGAGCACCACTGCCTTTGGCGGATTGTAAACTAGAATGGCGGCTTCACATGTATAAATGATGGTCGCCCCTCCGGCCCCTCCCTCCCCCTCAGCACGGCCAGGCAGAGCATGGCAGAGCCAGGCCAGGCACTGAGGGCCGAGGGTTGCGCTCTGCCCGGCTCTGCCCCTTGGCACGCCTCTGCCTCGCCTCACATTTAACACTCAAGTTATCGCACCCGTGTAAAACTTGGATGGGCCGTGAAATATGCACACACTAAAATGCCAGCCTCCTCGCCTCCTCCGTGCACACTCCGTGCTCCTCGGCCTTGTCGGCCTCGCCGGCCTTCTTGGCCGGGACTCGCCTGTTCCTCCTCGAGGTCCTCGAGGCCCTCTGGCGTCCGCCCGCCCCACGTCCGCGTCGAATGGGTTGCCTACCCGACGACGTGCAGGCGGCCCTCGCCAACGCGAACTGCCGAGCGATGCCGAGGAGTCGTTTCGGCGCTGTGTCTCTGTCGCACTCATGGAGCGCATCATGCGGGTGCGAGAGAGACAGAGGCTGAATCACTGGGCTGCGACGGCGGCGACGGCGGCGACAATCGGCCTTTTCTCCTTTTCGGTTTCCGTGGCGATGGCGATGCGGTCGGACCGCGGCGCGAGGCCGAGGCCCGCGTAGACCCTTTGGCGTTTGCTTTCGGCCCGACGAGTCCGTGCCCGAGTCCCTGGCGTCACCGTGACGCACCGTGACGCCGCCAGGACGTCGTCGTCCTGCCGTTGGCGGCGTTGGCGACGGCGTCCATGGTCTGCGAGGCTCGACACGCTCGCCACGCTCGCCACCGCCCGCTGCCAAACACATGTCGCAGCCGAGAGCGGCCAAGAAGAAGGCGGACTCTAAGGGGCCGAGACGTAGGGCGCGCAGTAGCACCGCGAGCACCGCGGTCAAAGGTGCGTTAGTCTGTTGGTTCGTCATGTGTCAGAGCCGGGCAGGGCAGGCAGGGCAGGCAGGGGCGGACCAGGCCGGACTCGCCGGGCCGGGGGGTGGCGGTGTAGTGGCGGTGCACTGTACTGGTGTAGCGTAGACGTTGTGATCGCCAGGCGCTGCCCACGCGGGCACTACCCTGAAAGCAAGCTGCTCTGAAGTCACTCCACCGTAAGCATTCGGGATTCGGGGAGGATGGAGCTCCAGTAGGGAAAGGGAAGTCCCGGTCGATGAAAATACGTCCTTTTCTGGGGTTCTAAGTACACGAGGACAAGGTTCGAGGTTCGAATACCGGCTCCGGCACACGAGTTTTCCTCTGTGAACTTGTTTCGACTCATAAGCTGCCCCCGCACTCACTCTGAAAGGCGCCCCTTTGTGCCCTGCCTCCAGCGCCTCCAGCTTCCTCCGAGACGATGACCGTGGTGGCGAGCTCGGCTACGGCGGGGAGGGCGGCCGGCCGGTGGAGCAGCAGGCCGAGCCCGTCGTGGCCGTCGCCAGGGCCGAGGCCGCGCCGTCCGAGACCGCCGTCACCGAGGCCTCGTCGCGGCTCGTGCTGCACTACGGCGGCCTGCAGGTGCACGACGTGTGCAGCCAGTTCGCAGACACCGACGCCGGCCTCGCCCTCAAGCAGCTGGTGCTGGTGGGGCAGCCCGCGGAGACCCTGGCGGTGAGTCATGTTCATGTTCACAGTGGCACGACGCCATCCTCGTCGCAGAGGTTCACGTTGGCCTGCTTCTTCTCCGTCCCCAGGGCGTGGCCCAGCTGACGCGGCTCACGGAGCTGTGGCTCGTCGAGTCGCAGCTGCGGGACGCAAGCGCGGCGAGGGAATGCACGCAGCTGGTGAAGCTGGTGCTGTGCACCAACCGCCTGACGGAGGTGCCCGACCTGGCGCCGCTGTCTAAGCTCGCCACGCTCTCCCTGGCCGGCAACCGCATCGCCGCCGTGCAGAACCTCAGCCAGCTGCCCGCCCTGGAGGACGTGAACCTGGCCGACAACCTCATCTGCACCATAGGCGCGGGCCTGGTGGGCTGCAAGCGTCTGTCCGCGCTCAATCTCAGCGGCAACCCGATCTCCAGCCTGAAGGTAAGCGACGCGAACTGGTTTCAAAGTGGACGCTCGACCGCAGCCTGCCGGACTTCCGGACTTTGCTTCGTCTCGTCCCCAGGAGAGCCGCAACCTGTGCGGCGTGCCCTCGCTGCGCCACCTCAGCCTGGCCGACCCCGTGTACGGCGTCACGCCCATGGCCCGCCTGTGCAACTACCGCAGCTGCCTACTGCTGCACTTGCCGCAGCTGCGCAGCCTGGACGGCTTCTCGGTGGAGCCGGAGGAGCTGTCCCAGCTCAAGGTCCGAGGCCGCACTCCCCGTCGCTGTTGTGGGTGGAAATAGCCTCCGGATTGTGACGCCTTGGCTCTGCGCCGCTCTGCGCGCAGGAGTTCTACGCCGTTGGGGGCCGCCACATGAGCATGCTGCGCCGCCACGCCGAGGCCCAGTTCCTGGTGGCGGTGCGCCGCCTCGGCAGCGCGGCCAGCGCGGACCTGCAGCGCCTGCGCGACCAGTTCTTCTATCTGGGCCAAAAGAAGTGCGAGGTCCAGCACCAGCGCCTCGACGAGCTGAGCAGGCAGCTGCAGGCGCAGGCCAGGGCGCGGAGCTACTTGCACCGCGTGGGCCCCGCCGTCCCCGCCACGCTCGCCGTCCCGGACTACTTGACCACCGCGGCGGCGGCAGCGGCGGCCGTGGCGTCCCAGGACGTGGAGGTGCAGGAGGGCGCCAGGGCCGCCATGGAGGACCTCGTCGTGGAGCTGGCGCGCTGGACCGACGAGCTGGACCTGCAGCTGGACGTGCACCGCACGGACTACGAGGTGGGCGTCGTCGCGGAGGGCTAGAGTGCCGGACTAGAATGCCGACGCGTTGTCACTGCCCTGGCGCCGCCTGCCCCAGATGACGTTCGCGGCCCTCGAGTGCGAGCTGGAGAGCGTGGGCAACGTGGCCATGAGCGTGCACACCCAGGGCAGCAGGCTGGCCAACGTTTGCCAGGACCTCCTGGACAGGTTCTCTTGCGGCACGCAGTTCACGTGAGCAGCCCGACAACCGCCATGCGCGCTGCCAGTGCAGGACGCCGTGCTCACGCTGGCCTTCATGACCACCAGGAAGTGGCACATCCGGCGCGCGCGAGTGCTGCGGGTGACGCACGTCTGCAGTCGGGGCGCCGAGATCGTGGAGCGGTGGCGGCCTGCCGAGGCCGAGCAGTACGAGGCCGTGGTGGAGGCCGCGGAGGCCGGCGAGGGGCAGCCCGCGCCCCGGAACAGCGAGGGCGAGGTGGTGGCCGCGGCGGGCGATTGGAACGGCCAGCAAAGGGTCGCTAGCCTCGCCAACAAGGCCGTCTGCGTGCAGGACGGGCAACGCTACTCCGCAGCCACCGCGGGCTCGGCGGCCTCTCGCGAGGAATGCGACGACGGCGACGCCGCCACCGAGGACACCGACGAGGAGGACAGCAGGGCGGAGGACACCGGCGAGTCGGTGGAGAGCGTGGAGCTGACCGACTGCGACTCGATGTTCCAAGTGCTGTGTGGCGCGGGCAGGGAGCTGAGCTACGGCCCCTGGCCCTTCAGGACGATGGACGTGCCTGCTCTGGGCGCGGCTGAGGTAGGGTATCGGTGGCCGTAGCCTTGCCGCTAGCGCCCCAAAGTACCAAAGTACCTCTGTTCTTGCCTTGTCGCAGGAGCCGCTGCTGGTGTCCAACTGCCTGGCGCTGGCCGACTCGCAGTGGCTCAGTCGCCGCGCGTCCGCGTCAGGCCGGGGGGACGTACGCCGCCTCGCGCCCCTCGTCAGGCTGAACCGCGGCACCAAGCTCCGCAGGACTCGATGGGGCGCCAAGGCAGGCCGCAGGGCCCCCGCGGGGCAGTGCGGCATGTACCGCGTGCTTGGGCCGCGCCCCGAGATGCTGTTCCTGGTGGAATTCCAGTACGAGAGCCTGGACGACGAGGACAAGCACCTCCACTGGTGGAGGGACGTGCGCGCGCCCGCCGCCGTCAAGCACCCCGTCCTGGACGAGGCGCTGCTGGCGCGCTGCGTGGCGTGCAGCGACTGGGGCCGCCTCACGTCCGTCAACCTGGCCGGCCGCTGCATCAAAGTTCTCGGTGCGGCACCTCTCCAGGACCAAGGACTCGAGGCGCACAGTGGGCCAGAGACCGGTGGAGGCGGCCAAAACTCTAGACGCGTTTTGAGCACCAGAGTCGCTAAACAGGACCCGAATCGAACGTGTGACCCCAGCAATGGATTGCTCTCCGAACGAGGAATCCATTGGTGGGGTCACACGTTCGGTTCGAGGCCTGTTCAGCTACTCTGGAGCTCAAAACGCGTCTAGAGTTTTGGCCGCCTCCACCTGTCTCTGGCCCACTGTAAGCAGGCAACCCAACCTACTCTAGGGTCTGTGATGCAGGAGAGTTGCCTCTGCTGCCCTGCGTGTCTCACTTGGACCTGTCCTACAACCAACTGGCGTCACTGGGGTCCCTGTACGCCTTCCCCAACCTGCGCAGCCTCAACCTGGCCTTCAACAACTTCGTGACGTTGGTCAACATGAGGGTGAGCAAGCCGCAAAGTGCGCGCAGGATGCTTCCCTGGTCGAGTCCTGGGCACCTCGCAGTAAGCAATCGTGTCGTAGAGCCTGCCCGCCCTGGAGAGCCTGAACCTGTCCTGGAACAACATCCGCAACCTGCTGGTGGTGCTCAAGAGCCTGAACAAGCACGCCGCGGCGCTGCGGTGCCTGCAGGTGTGCCACAACCCCGTGGAGGACGTGCTGGTGGGCGCGCACGGCCGCCACCTCGCGGCGCGCTACCTGCCCAGGCTGGCGGCGCTGGACGGCGAGCCCGTGCACGTCGGCCCCGTGTTCCTGCAGCCGCCGGCCCCGTCGACATCCTCGCACGCCGCGCACGCCGCGCCGACGGGGACGGGACCCTCGCGCTCGCGGTCCAGCCACTCGCCGCTGGCCACCTCCACCCACGTCCCCGCGAGGCCCGCGTCGGCCGCCTTCGGGAGGACGGTGTCGGGGAGGTTGTCGCCGTCGCGGCAGAAGGCGGTGGCTCAGCCCCCGCGGCCCCCGGGACCGCCCCCGAGCCACCCTCCGCCGGATCTGCCGACACGGGCCTGCGGGCCCGACGAGCTGCGCCTGCGGTGGCGCGCCGACCGCGGGGACCAGGTACACGCGACAATGTCAATTCGCTATCATTTTGGTCCATCAAATAACCCGCTAGCTCATGTCTCGCTGTGAAGGACTGCGTCGTCGACGGGGTGCACTCGCTGGTGCAGCCTGACCGCTACACTCTGAGCGCCCGAGGCCGCGGCCTGACCCACGTCGTGGACCCAGGGCTGGTGCCGTGGCCTCCCCCCGTGTCGGTGCTGGGGCCCTTGCCGACGACCACGGCCGCCGCGCCGGGGCCTGGGAGCGCCGGGACGGCCTGGCTAGCCGCGACGCGCTGGGCCGACCTCAGCGACAACCTGCTCGGCGAGGCGGGGCTGTCGCAGGCCCTGGCTGCCATGCCGCACCTGCTGCAGCTGGACGCGTCGCGAAACACCCTCGAGACCCTGCCCATGGCGTGCCTGCAACTGTGCCCCGGCCTGCAGCGCGTCGACCTCAGCAGGAACTACCTGCGCGCCTTCCCACTGCTGTCCGGCAGGCCCATGCACCACCTCGTCTTCCTGGACCTGTCGTGCAACCAGCTCTCGTCTCTGTGCGGCGTGGAGGAGATGACGGTTTTGCGCGAGCTGTACCTCGCCAACAACCACATCGGCGCGTTGCAGGACCTGCAGCCCTTGCGCAAGCTGCAGCGCCTCTGCGTGCTGGATTTGACGGGCAACGCCGTCAGCGAAGACGCCAACTTCAAGAAGTTCGTCGTGTTCCACCTTCGCAGCCTAGAGGTCAGCAGCACACTGGGGGTTGTCCGTTTCCCTCTTCAATGGCATGACACTCGGTGTCCTGCAGTGCGTCAACGGCCAGGAGGTGGTCGACGGCGACCTGGTGGCGGCCAGGGAGACGTTCGGCGGCTGCCTGGACCGCGACGCGCTGCTCACTCAGTACACGTGGAGGGACCTGACGCACCTGGTGGAGCTGCACCTCCCCGGCGCCTCGCTACGACAGGTACCGTACCACGAGGGTCTGGGCCGTCTAGGCCGTCTCGGCCGTCGTGGGGTCCAGGACCAGGTCCAGGCTAAGGCTGGTGCTCGCGTCGCGTGGCGGCGCGTGCCGCGTTGCGCAGGGCCGGGACTCTCTGGCGACCACCCTGGCGGGCCGGCGTCCGGCGCGCGGCCCTCTGATGGGGCCGATGGGGCCGCTGGGGCAGCACGAGCTGGCCACTAGGCTGGTGCGGGGCCCGGACACCCCGCCCTAGGTGTCCGAGGCAGGCGGAGGCAGGTCCTAGGGCCTCCTCGCCTTGACGGCCTCGCCTAGGACTACCACAGACCACCTGCGCACGCTGCGCTGCGCTGCGCACCTGCACTCGCTGTGACGCGACTGTTGTTTCGCTTGGAAGGTGGACTTGCCGGGGACGCTGCTCCCCAACCTCGAGGTGCTCGACTTGAGCCACAACGGCCTCTGCTGCCTGTGGGGACTGCAGCACCTGCCTCGCCTGGCCATGCTCGACCTTGGCCACAACCAGGTTGGTTGCAGCATGGTTGCAGCCTGATCCCCGCCACCTCCACCACGGCCGGCTAGGACTAAGGGACTTGTGCGGCGTGTGCAGGTGCGCTCGCTGCGCGGCCCCGAGAGGCCGGGGTGTTCCGGGGACTGCGACGCGGACGACGGGGAGGTGTTCCCCTCGCTGCACACTCTGTACCTGGACCACAACGGGCTGACCAGTCTGCAGTCGCTAGGCCTGGGCAGCGCGACCCGCCTGCGCACCCTGTTCCTGCAGCACAACCAGCTGGACAGTGTGGCAGGTCGAGACTCTCGTCTCGAGAGACGCGCTTTTATCAATTGGCTAGTCATTCCCCGCCTCCCCACGCAGTCCGTCACGCACTGCCCGGGCCGGCGAGGCCGTGGGCGAGGCCCTCCCTGCGGCAACCGTACGGACGCATCGTTCTGGCGCAGATCTCGGCCACGGCGACCTGAGGGGCCTCGTCTTGGACGGCAACCACCTGGACGGGGCCGCGCTCCTGGAGGCGGGTCGGGCGGGCCTGCTGCTGCACGTGCGCGACCTCCACCTCGACGGCAACCACGTGCACGGCCCGCGCGGCCTCGACTTCCTCGCGCGCACCGGCAGCCTGGCGCGTCTGTTCGTCGCCAAGAACAAGCTTGCGGTAGGGAGGGTGGTGGAGGGTTGCCGTGACACGTGAGCCCCGAGTGAGTGTAACTGGTGCCGACCCGCCAGGAGCCCGCCGACCTGGAGCCCCTGCGCCAGGTGCCCCGGCTGCGCGAGCTGTGCCTGCTGGGCAACCCCGTGTGCCTGCGACCGCGGCACTTCGCCCACGTGAGAGAGCTGCTGCCGGACCTGGCCGTCCTCGACGGGCACCCTCTCGGTCACCCTCTGGACCCGCAGCGCTACCTCTGCACCGCCGCCCCCGCGTCGCCCTCCCTCCAGCCCCTCGCCACCTCGCCCTTCGCCGTGACGCCCGTCCTGCCCGTCCCCCCCGTCCCCGTCGGCTAGAGGAAGCTGCAGGAAATGACCGAATACCGAATCGCTTTCATGTGTGTTTATTTCTGTTGCTAACAGTCTTTCTGAAATGGTAAATTATATTTTTATGAGTTGCAACTGCGGTTACATATCAATTTCATCGACAGAACACATCAAAAAATTCCTTACTGGTAGAATGCATAATTTACACATGTTGGATAGATATTATGCAGTGAATATAAGAATCCAACTGCATCAAGTTGGCTGTCAATACTTAAATAAGGAGCATGCCACACAAGCTAACAGTATGTTCTTATTAAAATATTTTCCAAAACTATTTATGTTACCAATTACATTGTATCATATAAGAGTTTCCACCATTCAAAGCTCCCCACTTAAGAGTGAGTATATTGAAGAAGACAATAACTCATATCCCTCTGTAAAAATTACACTTGATACAGTATCGAAATAAAAAACATGGAAGTGGACGCATAAGCATTTGCTCATTCGCATATATTTGTTTTTCCAATTCATGGAAAGTACATGTATGCATGTAAGGAAATCTAAAAAGTACTTACAATCTATTCATATTTTTCAGAAAAAAAGAGAAAAGAAAATTAATACCTTCATACATAATCACACATGCTGATCACATCATAATACTTGGTTGTACATCTTCAACAAAATGTCACCCAAATTTTATACTGGTTGGATGAATAGAATTGGCGTGAATTATCAGGCAGTAATTTTTTAAAATCATGCAATCACAGTACACTTTTAAAAGAGGAAGCAGTACTTGGAGCACAATGGGTTGTTTAACATCTGTGCAGAAGCAGAAACATCAGCTGAGAGCAAAATCTGTTATAATCAGAGAAAGCTGTGAATTTTGCTAGAGAAGGGTTCTTTTTGATATCCTAATAAAACTGGCACAAACATAAAAATGTTACACTTGTAACATAAATTCTGAAACAGTTCAGAATACAGCCACCAGTGTTACAACACAATGGGTCGGTAGATTTCCTAGTCTGAACATGAGTAGGCAACTATTTCCTCAACCATTCCAAACAAATAAACATTTCCATACCTACAAGCTTGACAAGTAAAATGTAAAACAAAAGTTTATCTACATCACTTAGAGGATTCTGTTGTCATGACTTTGGGCAGTAAATTTTGGCAACAGAGAAGCAGTTTGTATAATTTTCTTCAATGCTGTATCTGATGTGCATAAAATGACAAATTCAGTCTTAGGTAAAGGCCAAAACTTCTCCAGATTCCTCTAATGCATTCCATCACCAGAAACCATTATTCCCCTTAAAAAACAAACATTAAAAATGAAAATTTGCTAAAAGATACACGACAAAGGTGAACAATTTTGATTTCCTAGAAATGTATTGGCACATTTGGATGGTCTTGGCATTGGAGTCCACACCTAACAACTACACTCAGCCCTCAGGGAATCTTAAGATTCACACTACCTAGTGAATACAAAAGACTGATGATCAGGTGGTCCATCTCAGATATTTGTATACTGGAGCCACCAGATTAAGATCAAGATACATTCTTTTTATTTTGATGAAGAAACAAACAAACAAAACAAATCAAAATAAAACAAAACAAAACAAAGAAATAAAAAGGAGAACAAAGTCTTAAGCTTTAAGTCTCATTAAATACTTTAGGTTTGGAAGCCAAAATAACTGCAAGTTTCAAGGACACACACTAATTTGACTAGAAGCATCAGCAGATAATAAAAAGAGATACATTGAATTTTTGGCCCCTCTGGGGAGACTATTCTAAATTTTTCACAATTTATACTAAATGCCATAATACTTCCTTAGGTAAGCAACCCACACACCAGCCGAATCCAAAATAAATTTATCTTACACTCTTCCTAAACTTTTTTAGATATTAAAAATGGGATGTTTCACTGACAAAACATGAAAATGGATAATACATTCAATAGTGAAGTGTTCATGGCACAGCCACTAAGATGCTTCACAATTACGACACAAATAATCTATAATACCTAGAAGTTCATAAGTCTCTATTTTATCACAAAATTAATGAAGGAAACAAATTCAAGCACCTCTAGAGTATGACGACTTTGATAAAGTGCGATCAAAAGTGCCAATGCTGAAGTGTGAAATCTGGGCAGGAGCTGGCCTGTTTACTTGAATCATCACTGTGACTAGGTTTGGAACCATTAGAGTCTATGTCTCTCTCGACAGCAGAGGGACTAACACTTGGGAGCAAGTGTGCTACAGGTTTGAGATCTGAAGCAAAATCTTGAGGTAAGAGTATCCATTTAACAAAAGGTGGCTGAAGTTCAGCACCTTTCTCAACAATACAATTACTTGCAGCTACTGCTGTACGATCAACTACAGCTAAGTTTGAGACATTACTGGAAGTCTCAACACCTTCAAAATTTTCTGGAGTAATTCTCCTATCCACCTCTACATCCCTCTCTCTGATGGTGGCAATTTTAGAGGAGATTCTGCATGGTGGCACCCCTTCTGAACACACAGATGATACATTTTTGACAGGCACAGCAACTGAGGGACCAACATCAACCACCACTGACAAACTGTCAGGGGCAGTTACAGACAAATCTTGTTTAGGTGAGACATGACAGGAAGTTGCATTTGGATGAATGTATGCTTCATAATGTGGAACAAGATGTCCAGCCTTTGCAAGGTAGTTGTTCCACTGCTGCTGTTCAACAGCAACCACACGCCTCCGAATCCACTCTGGGTCTTCGGGAATTTCCTCTACAGTAGGTTGATTTGGTAAGGGAGGCGACATCCACACCCCATCAGGGGGATGAAAATCATTAAGCACCTCTGATTGAGAAAAGTTTTGTCCACTAGTCATAAGCACAGGATAAGTGTCCTCTGTCACATATGTACGTGGATCCTTAATTGGTATGTCTGTTGTTGTAATTGTGGAACCTGGAGGTCCACCGCAACAGCACGATATTCGACATGAATCAATATTGCCGAGTATCATGTGCTGTGTGCGTAGGCGAGACGGCACTTGATTCTGCAGTTGAGGCTTTATCCATGATACTGATGACTCTGCAAAGCCTGAGTCTTCAGTAGATATACTTTCAGCCTCTGTGCGTTCACTGGAGGTGGACGAGTCAGTTTGCACTGAGTCTGACACCCCACTTGCCGTCTCACCTGGGTCACATCGTTATTGGATGTGATCCCCTACTTGTAGTGCTCGTCATCTGAGATGAATGCCCCGAGGGCCGACAAGAAGTATGCAGCCATTGAAATCCCAGTATGCTGTCATGTGGAATGCCATGTTAGTGAGGACAACCACATACTCGGAAAGAGCAAAGAGTGTGTAAACTGCAAGGCAAAAAGATAAGAGAATTGCTTACGTTTAATTCAAGGAGACGAGGGGAAAAATGTAAAAATAACAGAAATTTAATGGATGCAAATGGCTTACCTCCTGGTTCGCAATAGCTGTTGTGCCTCATAAAAAAATATACTGCCAAGAGAGAAAATGAAATGTTTAAAGTTAAGAGTCTCCACTTCACTTTAAGAGACTTCTTATCCAATTCATCAGGAGGCATTGATCTTGTACGAGAGACCAGTACACATGTGAGCACCATGTAAAGCTCGGAAGAAATTAGAAATATTATGAAGAGTTTCTCATGGGCAGCTAAAACATACAAAAGGAAAAAAAAAAAAAATTCAGGACACCTGCTTTGCAATAATTTGATTAACAAAATCCAATTTCGTTTTACTTACGGTAGTTGTCACTTGATGAAACAAAAGTAAGACCAACAAGAGCTAGATTCTCAATAACTGTCAGCCAGCAAGCAGCCGCCGCCAAAAAGTGAGCCCATTTATATAAGACTGCTCTGTAGAAGCTGTAATATTTTGAGGCAACCAATAACCGTGGAAGTGCATGAGTGCCAATCGCTGTTCTCCAAACATCTCTTTGAGGGCTAAAATTGCCAATTGCAGCAGAAATAGAAGGCAAATAATTGTCAACCTGGAAAAAGACAAAAATTAAGGCTCAGGCTAAAGGAGACTTTAAGTACAATTTATGGATTCAAGAAAAAATAATTCAGTTATCTTACCTTACAATGAGTAAAAGTTGCTTTCTCAAAGTTGAAGAACACAGACCAAATCACACAAAATATGAAAGAAAAGAGAGGTAGGCTGACTGTTACCCATGCCAGCTTTCCAAAGGGTATTCTCAACCAGGACACCTGGCGTTTGTCCTGGGCCAAAGGCAGATATCCAGAGAGAGCATTCATCATAGAACCTGGAATCAATGAAAGTTGTGTTACAAGATCATCTGTAGAAGTGGGAAAAATGGAGTGATTGAAAATAAAAGTAGGCAGAATCAAAAACAGGAGGGTGGAAAAAAGAAAACTAGCAAATAGACGCAATTAATGTACAATCAAATGCATGAAAAAATTAACAAGTAAGAAAGATAAATATGCAGCAAAGAGTATGTATGATTTCAAAGGGCTTTCTTGACCTGGAAGTAAATGAATGGGAAAAAGTTTTTATTATAAACAATCTCACCTTAAATACTGGTCTCTGTTAAAGTATTACTTCGGACGATATGAGAGCTACCAAATCATGGCCATGATCAAGTTGAAATCAAGGAATGTAGTAAACAAACGTATTCGATCTTGGAAAAAATACGATCGTGGCAAAAATTTGACGTTTCATTCTCTCTCTCATTTCTCACATCCAGGACCAGGAATTGTTCCACTGTCACAAATGGGTTCTCAGGTGACAAACGTAAATATAGTTTTGTACTGGAACACGATTCGGAATTGGCAACGTCAGCAATTACATGAAAAAGTAAATTTTACTCTGTTTTGTTATCTAGTCGCTGTCACTAAAAGCACTACTCTTCTGCTGGGCACAGCCCTCGCGAAAATTCATTTGACAAATCGGTGTGATTCCCCGCTTGGCTTTCCCCTGCTCTTCTTTCATAGTGTGGGATAGAACAAGACTCTCTGATGTGTACTTGTTTACGCCAGAAAATTATTTGATATTGCTAAAAAAAATAGTCTTTGGCTTAGTTAGTTCGAAATCACCACATTTTGTGGCCAACCACAAATCCAGCAGATTGTCGATGTTGGTAGCTCGGATAAAGAGGGAGGAGAGGCCGGTGGTGGGGGTACTTGTGATTTCCGGCTCCGGTTCAAGCGGCGAGTGACCGCTCTGCATTCTTCCATTTTGGTGGGCCGAGGCGTCGGACGCGCACGGTGAGTGTCGAAAAGAAATTTAGCGTTAACTGCGCATTGAGAACACAGTTGCTCCTGGAGTCTTACTCGTTAGCTTTCTTGTTCGCTCCCCCCATCCTGCGTACTATGTAAGGTTCGTTTGAGATTCGCTTTCTTCGGTTTTTCAAGTCCGGTAGTTTGCCGTCCACGTTGCACTGTAAAACGTGGTCGTTTTGTATCCGCGTTGCATCTTTCTCTGGTTTCGGAGTCCTTCATTCCGTGTTCTCAACTTCAGCCCCCTGTTTCACTGCGTCGAATCTATCCGTCAAACGTTTGGTTCTTGTGACCAGTAGTCTGCGAGTGACACGCACGTTCGAACATAACCTTACCAGACTTCGGCCATGCCGTCCGTTGTGACTAGGTTAAGCACTCGTCGCGCAGGCGTCTTTGGAGGTCTAACGTTCTCCCTTGTCTTTTGCAGGCCAAGATGGTGAACAACAGAATACCGAAGGTCATTAGTAAGACCTACGTCACCCCCAGGAGACCCTATGAGAAGGCTCGCCTTGATCAGGAGTTGAAGATCATCGGCGAGTATGGTCTGAAGAACAAGAGGGAAGTATGGAGGGTCAAGTACACCCTCGCCAAGATCCGTAAAGCCGCCCGTGAGCTCCTGACTCTCGAAGAGAAAGATCAGCGTCGCCTGTTCGAAGGTATGTACAGCTCCTCGGTGTCCCGTACCTCTTCCAGTACATCATGTGCCTTGCCGCAGTCTACTTTGTGGCTGGTCTTGTGCCTCCTGCTCTGTGGACGAGGACGGTATTGGCTGTACAGATGGAAGTAGATCAAACGTACCCCTCCTGAAACGCTGCCTTGGGACCTCTATCTTTATGTCTGATTCTGGCATGCTAAAGTTGTGGGTACTACACTCAGTTTCATTGTGATTGCATTTTGTCTCTACTAAGACAAGTAGCTTTCATCCAAATAGGACAAGCCTGATGTTCGACTTCTTCCATGTGATGAATTTATTTTTAATATAATCTGACACCTCTTGTCTGAATTGTATGTGTGGTTATTTAACTTCTGAGCAAAATGGTTGAAGTAATTTAACATTTCTACATTCGCTTAGGCTATTGACTGGTATGTTCTTCGGTCAGTGTTAGCCTTCAAAGTTGTTTTTTTTGTTTGTTTACTGCTGATTTCCTTTTATGATGTTAATCATAAAATTTCTTTTCTGACACCTATTCTGAACAGCTGTGTCGAGTTCCTAGTTTCTGAAAAAGGAAATGGTATCCAAATTCCTAAAGTTAACACTGACCCTGTTGTACTCATTAAATTTCTTTGCGTGTGTCGGCATGGGTAGCCTTGATCTAAATGTTATATAACTCCAAGTGACTTCTTCCTTGTGATGAGTCTATTCATAAATTTATCTGACACCTCTTGTCTGAATTGTTTGTGTGGTTAATTGACTTCTGATTTTATTGGTTGGAGAAGTCTGAGCGGTCTAATTTGTTTTGCAGTATACTATTTTCTGGCGTGGTTAGATTCCTGCTTATTTTGAGTTCAGTCTTCCAGTACACCATGTGCCTTACTGCAGCTTTTCTTGTGGCTGGCCTTGTGCCTCCTGCTTTTAGAGCTAGGACAGTATTGGCTGTACTTATGGAAGTAGACTAATAATGCCCTTCCTGATATGCGGCCGCAGGACCTCTATCTTTATGTCTAGTGGTGGCATGCGAAAGTTAGGCCATGACAACATTTTCTTATTTCCTTTTATGATGTGAAACAAAAGCAAATTCTTTTCTGACACCTATTCTGAACTGCTGTGTTGTGTAAAGTTTCTGAAAGGAAATTCTTATTGTACTGAATAAGTCGCTAGTCCTGTGCGGTCTGGCTCCTGGCCCTTTTCTTATTTCTTTCTTTCTTTCAGGTAATGCACTTCTCCGTCGTCTGGTCCGTATTGGTGTGCTGGATGAGGGCCGTATGAAGCTTGATTACGTCCTTGGTCTCAAGATCGAAGATTTCCTTGAAAGGCGTCTGCAGACCCAGGTCTTCAAGCTTGGACTTGCCAAGTCCATCCACCATGCCCGTGTCCTGATCCGTCAAAGACACATCAGGTATGTTCATGATGTATCTGTTTGACTAACTGCTGAGCTTGTTGTCTCATGGCTGTGATGTTCTCAGGGTGGTTCCGAGGTGAAATGCTTCCTAGCCATTGATCACTTTCTCACAGGCCACTTGAGTGGAGCGTGCTCCCTCAATGCCTTGTTTCTGGCAACTGCTTCATTTTCAGCTAGGCCACTTGGGTAGAGCTTGCTCTTCCAATGCCTATCATACTGATTAAGGACAAGCTGAAGGTATGAGCACAGCTGAGCTTGTGAACGTCACATGATGGACTATCCACCAAGACCATGCCATGTCCGTGGCGTGTGCAAGATATAATCTGTTTGTAGCTCTTAATTGTTGGGGCAAGTTAGTTTCTTTGTTTTCGTCTCTGTCTAATTCATGGGCAGAAGAACGCATTTGATATGTTTGACCATCTTCCTGAAGATCTGGGCAAGAGAGATCAGTCTTACTGAGCGTCTCTAATCCTTCAGGGGAGATTGAATTCTGTGTGTTAATCCCAGCTTCGATATTATATCAAGGCTGATTCAATCATAGATACACTGTAATGTGGCATGTACTGTTAGTGTGACCAGTCAATTGGTATTTGTTAGGGTTTTGAATTTTCTCCTCTTGAATTGGGCAAGGGATGTCAGTATCCAGCTGAGCGTCTCTAATCCTCGAGGGGAGAGCAAGTTCTGTGTGTTAATCCCAGCTTGGATATTATATCTAGGCTGATTCAATCATAGATACAATCAAATGCTATCAAGCGGGAATGAGAAGTTTAGCAAATTAGAAGTGGTTAACAAGTTCCTGGTAATTTATTTCTTTTCCTTGTTTTTGTGTGCAGGGTCCGCAAACAGGTGGTCAACATCCCCAGTTTCGTTGTGCGACTAGACTCCCAGAAGCACATCGACTTCTCCCTCAAGTCGCCCTTCGGTGGTGGCAGGCCCGGCCGTGTCAAGAGGAAGAACCTGAAGAAGGCAGCCGGCGGTGGTGGTGGCGGCGGCGGCGATGACGAGGAGGATTAAGCTGTATAATGGGACATTCTTGTCCCACTGTAAATTAAATCCTTTCTTGTACCAAATTTCTGGTATTATTGTTACCCAAACCTCATCTCCTTTCCCACATTCAATTGGCACACATGTCAGTCCTCAAAAGCTGAGGTGTTGAAAGTCCCTTTCACTCCCACGCCCCTGTTTACACATGTGCCGCTCCCATGCGTCACGGAAAACTACAAGAGCCGCCAGAAAGTCTTATCTTTTTTGTTTATTTTTTTTTTCAACTTTTTTGCTCAAACCGGTTGGCATCCCTGCCGTGGCTGGCAGGCTATTTACTTTTTGTCTTTGTCATGAGGTTAGCACGTCTCTTCCTGGCTGCTGCGGGAGGTATACTCCGCTGATAATTGATCGCTCGGCACTGTTCGGTACTGAGGAATTGCGCCTGGTCGTGTGGCCAGCCGTAGTCTGCAATGTTTTCTTGCTGTGCGAGAAGTCTGGTCCGCTGTCGAGTGTTTTATAGGACATTTGTAAGTTGATGAACGGTCTCAGTCGGCCGTGGTTGTGAAATGTCAACTAGACTCGCTGCGGTGCGATTGTGCGTAGTGTAATGAGGTTATGCACCTGTGATTGTGGTGAATATGACGAGGCAAATTTCCTTATCTCGATCTCAGGATCCGTTGTTTTTGTCATTACCATAACCTCTTTAGTACATTATCGGTACCGATAGAAAGAACTTGACCAGACTTAACGCGCTCGCCGAATGTCATGAGTATTTCAAAACAAAATACCTTTAACAGACCATTGGGTTTAGATTTCAACCAAACTTTGTCTCAATGCTGGGGTTATGCCATCCTTGCTTCATGTCTATTTCATATGAGGAGTAGGAAGTTCTACAAATGAGGGTAGATATTTGAGTATCAGCTGTCAGGCTAATGGGTAGCGTAGGCATATCTACCATTTAACAATCTGACTTGTCGTAGTTATTTATTGACAGTTCCTGTTATTTGTTTTCACAGTAGCAGCGTTAAAGCTGAAGGCAGCCAGGAGCTGCTTCCTTCCCTGGTCTGATTCATTGACAGAATTATGCCATGTCTGACCTGAGCAGGTGGTCATAAAAAGCTCAGAACACATTTACAATGAAGGTATATTTCTTTTCCCATTCCCATCGTTCTACCTTTTCTCCCGCCTCTTCTTTTTATTTTCTTCTAAACTTGAAGCATCTGAATTAACATTTTGAAAAGAGTGGTAGATGTTTGTCTCAAATTGTAGAGCACTAGTGACTTTGTTTGTGCTTGCACAATTAGATTGCATGGAACTGAACTGCACATTCTTTTCCATTTGGTATTGAGCCAGCTGATATCTCTTCAAGTGCCTCTTGATTTCCTTCTTCTCATGTGGTGTAGATGTGAATTCCTATCAATGCTTAAAACGTCTTTTTTCTGTCCCTGTTTTTTACCCAACTATAGCATTAGCTGTGTGTTATGCTATGTAACAATCTGCTTTTGCACGTTAATGGTGTATGGAATAGCGCAGGCTGAAAAGAAAAGGTCAAGTCAAAAATGTGTGATTTTTTTTTTAATTTTTAGTGTAAAAGTACTATTTTTCTTCTTTTTTTTCACAATAATATTTTGCTTTTGCTCTTTCTATTTTCATTTTCATTGTTTTGTGCTCTTATTTTTTTTTCTTGGTCACTAGGCAAATCAAGGAGTCATTGGTGATGGCACTTACCCACAGTTTGTGAAAATTGTGGAAGTTGGCCCCCGAGATGGTCTTCAAAATGAGCCAGTGAAGGTCCCTACCAATGTGAAAGTTGAACTTATAAATCGTCTCGTTGCCGCAGGTTTGTGCACTGTGGAGGCCACAAGGTGCGTACAGATCTTCTCTTTGCTTGCACTTTATCTACTAAATGAGGGCTATGAGTCCAGTGCTTTTTATTTAATTAAAATTGAAACTTTTCAGTTTTGTTTCTCCTAAATGGGTTCCTCAGCTAGCTGATGGCGCAGAGGTTTTGAGAAGCATTGACCGTAAGCCTGGGATCAGGTATCCTGTTCTTGTGCCAAACTTGAAGGGTTTAAATGCTGCGGTGGGTTTTATTTCTGTTTGGCAACTTGACCTTTATCATGGTTTTCATTAATAATTTTAATTGATCCAAGTTTATTTTTTTAGATTAATGCTGGTGCTGAAGAAATTGCTGTTTTTGGAGCAGCATCAGAATCATTTAGCCTTAAGAACATAAACTGCTCAATAGATGAAAGCTTGTTACGCTTCTCAGATGTAATCAAAGAAGCTTTAAGCCATGGCATACGAGTTAGAGGATATGTATCTTGTGTGCTTGGTTGTCCATATGAAGGTAAAATTAATCCTCACAAAGTTGCCAAGGTAAGATGATAGGAAACCAATCCTTTTTCTTTGTATGTAAGATGGTTTTATTTTTTACATTATGCCTAGATAAAATACCTCAAGTGTTTTTTTTTCTGTTTCTAATTTTTTTAAGGTGGCCAGTGCTATGATTGATATGGGATGTTATGAAATTTCACTTGGTGATACTATTGGCGTGGGCACTCCAGGTGAAATGGACACCATGCTAACTGAAGTGACGAGGCTTATTCCTGTATCCAATCTTGCAGTTCACTGCCACAACACATATGGCCAAGCATTGGCCAATATCTTAATGGCTTTGCAGGTAGAGAAACATTCAACATCATGATAAACTTCTTTTGAATTCGTGTTGATGCAAGTTAAAATTATTACCTTTCTTTTTTCAGCATGGTGTGTCAGTTGTAGATTCCTCTGTTGCTGGTTTAGGAGGATGTCCTTATGCCAAAGGAGCCTCAGGCAATGTGGCCACAGAGGATGTTGTTTACATGTTACACGGCATGGGCATTGAAACTGGTGTTGATTTGGAAAAACTCATAGAAGTAGGAAATTATATCTCCACATTTTTGAATAGACCCACTGCCTCCAAGGTGGCATGTGCCTTGAGCAAACTCTGAGACAGGCCTGTCTCACCAAGCAAATCTGGTGAGACAGCCCTCCCCAAAGTAGCTGTGGCATCTGCCAACTGCGGTTTGGATGAAGATGCTTTATCCGTTAAAACTCTGTTAAAAAGCGGCTGTGATGTCTTTTCGTTAACAGAAGAGATAGAAAAAGAATCTAATCAGGTCATCAAATCTCCAGATGTGGCACAAGAGGGTCTAATTGGTGGTGGCGATGATAGTCATATCAACCAAACTAGAGATCCCCTTTATCCACCAAGATGGTCACTCTCTCAGTGTCGAGATGTGGGCTGTTGTGTTGCATAATTGTCATTTATTTCCTTGGTTTTACTTGGAAGGGTGGGGTAAGTCAACATTCCTTGTTATGGGCTGTGTATTTTGTATGTTCTGTGAGCTACATGGTTATGTGTTCTTAATTTATTTTTTTGCTAGGCTATGGAATTGTTAAATTATTGTATGGTTTGTTTTACTTTGTTAGTGGTATATTTAATTAAATATTGACCAAGGCACTGTCAAGAATATGAAATATATCTCGCAATATCAAAACAAATTAACAAAAATGTGTATTTCATTGTATACAATACCCTGCACTTCACAGAATGGGGTACAAGACTGTCAAATTATTTTTTGATTAGTTATGCTTTATACATGTTTTCTTGCCTTCTTTTTGGGTGATTTTGTTTCACTGACTGAACCAGAATTCTTCCTCTTACCCTTTGATGCTACACCATTTGCTATTACCTTAGAAGCATTACCATTTGATTTTTTGGAAAGTAGAACATTTCTATCATTTCCATTGGCTTTATTTTTGTTGCCCTTAGGACCTTTACTTTGAGATGGTGAAACTGAACTCTCAGATCCTCCATTATTTCCACTACTTTCCTTTTTCTTTTTGGGCTTTTTTATTTTTTTCTCAGTGGGTGACGACTTTTCTTCGACCTGGGAGTTATCACTGGTTGCAGTCTTTTTCTTTGCATTCTTCTTGGCTTTTTTCTTTAGATTCTTTTTCTTCTTTGAACTTGTAGTACCTGGAGCTTCATCCTCTTTAACATCAGATGTAACAGTTTCTTTCTCAATAGCATCTACTTGATAAACACCACTGTCCTCCTCATTTGCATCAATATCTACTGTCTTCGGCAAGGAGTTGCTTATCTTTTGAAGTTTGGCCACAAAGAAACCATCCATGTTGTGAGTATGTGGATAGAATCGCCGGGTCAACTTTAATGAAGGGTGGAACCTGCAAATGAAGCCATTGAATGTTAATATAACTTCTGAGAAAACATTTTAAAAATGAAATACCTATATCTGTTGGAACTCACCTTAATTGTCTAAATTTAGTAAAACCCTCTGATCCAAAATCCAAACCAGTGGGCACAAGACGAACAGCACGTTTTTTCAGTGCATAATCAATAACCCACTCATTCTCTTCAACCTACAAGACAAATCATTTATGAAGCTAAAAATTAATTAAAAAGTGTTGATGATAGTACATTAAAATGTTACTCACCAAGACTGAACAGGTAGAATAAACTAGGTAGCCTCCAGTGGAAGAACGTGCATTTAATGCATCAATAGCTGCAAGAAGAAGTTCCCTTTGCAACGTACAACATCTCTGAATGTCAATTTCATCTTTATTAGATTTGACACTTGGATCTTTTGAAACAACGCCCGTTCCTGTGCATGGTGCATCTAAGAGAACTCTGTCAAAGCCTTTCAGCACCTACAGAAATAAATTCTTTATTATGAAATGAACTGTCACATCATAATATAACTAATAAAAGATCAAAGGTTGTTAGCATCTAAAATTCTTCAAGAGTACATACATTTGTGATTTTTCGCCCATCATAACAGGTGACAACACTATTGACAATACCAAGACGATGGAAATTTCCAACAATAGCTTTTGTGCGGTCGCGATTTGCATCATTTGCAAATAATACTCCAGTATTTTTCATAACAGCAGCTGAGAGGAAGTATAAAAAGTTAACTTAACTCAACAATATAAGGGATAAATAGGTGTTAAAATTACTGTTGTCAATGAAAGACAAACCTATGTGTGAGGCTTTGCCGCCTGGAGCAGCAGCCATGTCCAGAATTCGTTCTTTTTCCTGAGGTGCAAGGGCCATCACAGGAAGCAAACTTGAAGCACCCTAAAATTGAATTCACAATAAGATAAGGCAAATGAGAAGAAAAAGAAAAAAACAGATAAAATAGAAAAATATTTGACAGTACTTACTTGAATAATGTAGTGGCCTGCCAAGTATTCAGGTGTAGCACCGATTGGTACTTGAGAAGAATAAACTACAAGCCCTACTTTAGTCCACTCACCTAAAGGGTCTAGGTTTACTCCACGATTAATTAAAGCCTGAATTGAAAAATCACAATTATGCACAGTACGTAAACAGAGAGCAAATACCACACAAAGCCAGTGAGTAGAGGGCCTCACCTGAGCAACATCTTTTCTCCTGGCCTTCAAGCTGTTGACTCGTATAGTCAGTGGCCTTTGAACCTCACTTGCTTCCAGAAATTCTAACAACTCAGATAGTTGGAAAACTTGCATTAACTTTTCCATCAGGAAGTCATTGTAACTGTAGTATGTGCAAAGATCATGCCGCAGAAGGTCTACATAGTCACTGCGGGACCTAGATAAACAAAAGAAACAACCAAAAAATTAATGTCCAAGAGACATTAAAGACACTCAGACAAACCAAGATACAGTGCAATGGAGGAGAAAAAACTGACACATACCTGCCAGGTTCGTGCAGTTTCTTGAAGTCATTAAGTACAATAATGACATCCTTCATTCGCTGCTGAACATCTTGCAGGTCCTGGGGTTTCTTAACTTCCTCCTCAGAAGGGAATGCAAAAACATCATGACTAGCCACATTAAGCTGAAGCTCTTCTTCTGCCAATTTGCTGGATAAAGGGGAAATAAATGATTAAATTGTGCAGTTACAAAATAAGTTTGAAAGAGCATGAAATGGAAACTAACTCATCACGCTTTTGCTTCTTCCTCAATTTCTTAGCTTGTTTTTCAATAGGTAGCATATCTTCATCACTTTCTTCATTGTCATCTGAGTCATCATTCTCATCATCCGAGTCTTTGTCAGAGTTATCATCCGAGTCTTTGTCAGAGTTATCAGAGTCTCCTCCAAAGTCGTCATCATCATCCTCATCTGAGTCATCTGAATCCATGTTAAGACTTTGAACTGTCACTGATTCACCCTTGCCAGGTTTCCACTTTTTAGGTACAGTTATGCTGGTTTCCTTATCGTCACTATCACCACTTTCAACTTCTTCATCACCCTCCATTTCATCACTGTCTGCTTCACTCTCTTCTTCTTCCTCACCGTCACTGTCTGCTGCACTCTCTTCTTCTTCACCATCACTGTCTGCATCACTCTCTTCTTCTTCATCATCATCACTGTCTGCATCACTCTCTTCTTCACTGTCGTCATCATCACTACCTTCCTGATCATGCAGCTTTGGAACTTTAGCACCTTTCTTCAAAACAGGTTTCAGCCAAGAGCTATTGTCATCAGTGAATCCAACAACATTGTTGCCTTCATCATCGGACTCATCATCCGATTCTTCCTCCTCTTCCTGGTCATCCTCCTCACTTTCTTCCTCCTCTTCCGATGAAGATTGATACTTCCGGCCTTTCTGGGCCTTGGGCGGAGGCTGTTTGGATCCCTTTTGTTGAAGGGCAACACTCTTGGCTGGAAAAAAAGGAAAAATAAGATTCAGAACAGGAAGAGGAAGAAATAAAAGCTGCAGCATGAAAGGACAAATTTAACTCAGTTAACGGCAGTATCAATCAAGTGCGCAGTGAAACTCACCCTTGGCTGCCAGCTCCTCTTTCATCTGTTTGTTTTTAAGCTCTCTCTTTTTCTGGGCTTCAATACGGTGAGCCTCAGCCTGTTCAGCCTTGAGCTTCTCTTGAATGTTCCGTTTTCTCATCCGTGCAAGTGGGCGCCGAGTAAGTTTCTTATCTGAATTTACACCTAAGGGACATGAATGAAAACAAGATGATTTTACTACTAATAAATCGAAGAGAAATCAAAAATTTAGAAAAAGTTCATACATTTAGTAGCAGTTCCACTCTAGTTTAACATTCAGAGAAAATATAATTTCAGAGTAAATTTCAACTTAACCTAGCACATACCGACTGGCACAGAAATCTCTGGCTCGCCTTGCTTTCTGGCTTTGCGGCCCGGGCCCTTCTTCTTGTAATCGGGGTCGGCGAATTTGGCTTTTCGGCCCATGGCGAATCGAGTGAAATGTCACGGATACAGTTCAATCTTCCAAATTAGCGGCATGTATAACGACACACGTGCACCAGACAACGCACACACGTTGTTGTTTGCTCTGCAGTTGTTGTTGTTGTTTGTGTTTGCGAAGACAGGGGAGAAATGGTGTGACGCTGTGCCAACTCTCCGGACTCCGAATGCCAGTTTGGTCGCTTAGTTAAATTTTCACGACTGCGATAAAAAATATACCGCTGATGGATTGCTGTGATATTTGACTTGCTTTATCCAATCGATGGATCAAATGGTCATGAGAGCAGAGTAGAGTTATCAGCATCTCTCGTAAGTGGAGCATTACCAGCGTGCGTGTAGTGGTAGGGCCGCTCACAACATTTACAAAAGTAAAGTGGCGGTTGGAGGGAGCAGGTTGGAGAATTTCTGTCATTTTAGGTAGTTTTTCATGCACTTTCTCATTTTTTTTGCCATAGGTGTGGCTTTTAAAGTTTTACCTGTTTAATCTTTTTTGGAAACCCTGATACACGAAGAACTCCTGTAGCAGGAGGTTCGCATTTCGCCATGATTTTGAGAAAGCGTCCGTCACCCATAGATTTCTTTCTTGTTTGATTAACTACAACTTAATACTTGTTACAGCAGCTCCTAACGTGCCGACAATTCAGTTATTTCTGTCGCAAAGGCTTCTTTTTATCTCAGGTTGGTTGGATTATCTCCCTGACGAAAATCTATTTACGTTAGAACCTGCGATTGAAGTTGAAACCACTTGCCTGCCTTTCTTGCTTTAGTTTCCAGAATGGTGCGCACCAGGGCTAAGAAAGGCGCAGCTGCGTCTCGACAGAAGGAAAATGTGAACACCGATGACACAACAGAACAGTCAGAAGAACTGTGGAAATCATGGTTGTTGGATTTTGAACAAGAATGTAAGTGTTTAAGTGTGAGTGTATTTTTCTCTCAACCACATTTTTTAATTGTTTTCTTTTCAAATAATTGTCTTTTGCAGTGAATGGACGTTTTTACAAATTAAATGAGAAGTTACAAGAAGAGACAAGAGCCATTGATCGTAATTTACTAGTGATGCTAGCGAAAGTGCCTGCAAATGAAGCAAATCTTCAAGTTTCGCGTCTTGCAACTGTTCTTGTAAGTATTTACCTTGTTTTATGTTTTTGTGATAATTTCTTCTGTATTCATACAGTTGTTGTTTTTCCAGGGCGAGTCAACTGATTCTATTGACTCTTTTGATTCAACTCTTACATCGACCATCAAAAAACCTGGAAAAGGATTTGTTACAAGCACAGCCTTCAAGGCAATGCCTCCACCCCAAGACCCTGAACCTAAGATAGTCAGGAAGTCTAGAGCTAGGACTAAACGCACTAGAACATCCTCTCTCACTGATGTTTCATCGCTGCTACCAGGTAAATTGTGTTCTGATTTGCACCAGGAAATTTTTGTTCTTGATCATTCTTATATTCAAACAAATTTCTTCTCAGAAATTGGATCAAATCGGCGGATGACTCGCAGTTCCTCACAGCCAAGAGACAACTTTTCCAAAATTATTCCAGATTACCAGGTAACTTAGCATCTGTTGTTAATCAATTGTTATATGAATTTTTGACGTTTTGACCTCTAAATCTCTTTTCTACCAGACTCCAATGAACAGACCTGATAGAACAATGGTGGCTGTTACACCTAAAGTGGACCCTTACTCTGCCATGCCCCTGAAGCGTTATGCCCGGCAGGGAGAAATGGCCATATCACTCACTGGAAGTCCATTGATGATGACCACTAGCATCACAGAACCAAACATCAGTCTCCCTTTGAACAATGGACAGGTAAATTTTTGAGATCAGACAGAGTAGTTGGACTGTTTGTCAATAAAATGCAGATGCTTATGATATAAACTTGAACTTTTGTTCTACATTTTAACATTTTTTAAAAGAAATGTGTTCTGAACTTTTTATTGCAGGAGGTCTATTCCATTCTGCCAACCAATGGTCCGTGTCCAGTGATTCCATCAATTGACAATTCAACAAGACAGAAGTTACATCTCCTTCGTGAGAACTTAAACAGGATTTTGGGAGAATGATATCCATAAATTTTAACATTTGCCCTCAAGACTTGTTCATTCTGCAAGGATAATTTCTATGAAAAATAACCCTTTTATGTCATGAGATAGGCAGTTTTTTGTAATGTGAAACATTTATCATCTATTTTATAGTATATAAGTCACCAACTGATGAACAGCATGTGCCTCTTTAATTTGGATTGATAATTTAATAATTAAATATGCTGTCTAAAGTTTCTCAGTATTTTGTGTACATAAACATCAATAAATTTACAGAACAATCATTCATGTGTTTAACTTTTTTATTAATTATTTTTTTGTTTCTTGGTTGCCAATTATGTGAGTGCATACATTATATCAAATTCGTGGTCATATTATTGCTATTGTATGGTGTAGAGTATTTCTTACCTCATTGCCAATTAAGTGGCCTCATTTAGTTTAAGTTGGCGCTCAATTTCTTTTATGTAAGCCTCCGGAACTTTATTTGCCCTGCATGATTGAAGACATTTATGTTAGTAGGTAACTTATGTGATTTACATTTGTTTTAAGATCATGCTCACCTTAGTTCTTCAATTTTACGTTTCATTGTGAGTTGAAGCTCTCTCTTTCGTGACTCTTCTTCAGCTCTTACTGCATCACCCTCTTGGAACTTTAATTTCCTTTCCCGAATTCTTTCTCGTTCCTTTTCATTTATCTGTTCTAGTATAGCTGTACGGTATGCCTCCAAACCCTACAATATAAGTGTTATTTATGGAATGTTGTCATTTCTTTGATTAATGAACAAACCACAAACGAAAAATGAGCCAAATTTCCTCCTGCTGTGTACCAAACTTTCATACTTACTGATTGGCGCTTTATTTGCTCCAGCCTTTCCCTCTCTGCTTCCAACTGCTGAGAGCGAATGATACGTTCAAATTGCTGCTTCTCCCTAGCTATTTCAAGAGCTTGCATGCTACGGCGGTGCTCTATCTGCTCTTGCCTTGCTTGCTTTAGTTTTTGCTCCTCTTTAGCCTTTTTTATTGCTTCCTCTTTTTCTTTTCTTCGCCATTCTCGTTCCACCTTGTGCCAAAAATATGTTAATCTCTGCCTTTTAAATTTTCCAACTACAGTAATCTGGAATTCTTTAACAGTGTTACCTCATCTTGTGTCCTCAGTGCCTTCAGTTCATCTTGTTGAGATTTTAGATCTGACATTCTTTCTTGAGCTGCCCGTAGACGAGCTATCTCCAGTTCTTTCGCAAGCCTGTTTTTCCTGTGTTCTTCTTCTAAAGCTGCTTCTCTGGCTGCTTTGTCAGCCATAAATTTCTGTACCTGATTGAAATTAATTAGTAGTTTAACTTGAAAATGCTGTTTAATAGACTGTTACTAAGGAATATTGAAGACCAATTGCCCTATGAAATTTACTTTTAGTTCCGCTTGTCTCTTTTCCTCCCTTTCCAAATCTTGGAAGTACTTGAGTTGTTCATTCACTTGGCCCAAAAATTGGCGAGTTTTGGCTTGCTCCTCTAATTTATTATGATATGCCTGAAGTTCTTCCATCTGAACTTGCATTGCTGCTTCATTCATAAGTCTGCTTTCCTGGAAGAAAGGAATAAGATTAGATTAGTATTATTATCATCATCACAGTATTATCAATTGCTATTTTGAAGGAATTTTATGAACCTCCTCTTTACGCTCAGCTTCATGTATGCGCCCTGTTTCATTTTCTTGTATTTGATGAAGAAGAGCTTTCAGATAACGTTGATTCTTGAGTGCTTCTTCCTCTTTACGTTTCTCTTCTTCTTTAAGTCCAATCATTCTTTGCTGTTCCATCATTTTGTCAAGACGCTGTTCTTCCTCTATTAGTTCTTTCCTGTATGGCAGATGGCAAGACACTTACTACATGCAGTAAGATATGTAAGCTTTCAAAATTTAATTGTGATTGCTTACTGAATAAGTTGCTTCTCTGCCATTTGTGCCGATCTTATAGCATGGCATTTTGTACTTATAATTAGTCGGTTTGCACTTTTGACTTCATCTTGTGATTCTTGTTGTAACTCTCTCGCTCTTGCTAATAAATGTGCAGCCTTTCTTTCGGCATCTGCTTCAAGCTGTATATATATTTTTTTTAAATCATCCTTGAAAACTCAAAACTTGCTAAGGTTTGAAACATAATTATACTTACTTCAGCAAGACGGACACTTTTCACCCGGTACTTTTCAAAAGAATTTAGCTTTTCTTTTCTTTCAGTGCTTTCCTTTTCTAATCTTCTTCTAGCACTTTCTGCTGCTTCCTGTTGCTTTAATTTTTCGGATGGAGTTAGAACCTGTAGACAAAAAGTCTTCTAATTTTTTGGAAGTTACATGCTTGGGATGGCCTTAAGGCTCAAGAGCTCAGGCATCTCGCAACAACTTCTTTTAGTTAATCTCTTTAAAGAACTGTTTTTTACCTTTGATTGCTTTACTAGACGACAAAACTCTCCTTTATCAAAGTAAATAGGGTGCACATTGGGTTCTGGTCCTGGTACAACAAGCTTTCGAACCATGTCAGGTCCTTTTAGTGTAAGAACTTCCTTGCCATAAGTAGCTGGTTTCTGGAATCTCTTTGGAAGTGTCATTGCCACATCTAATGCTGTGCACTTTTTTTCTGAAAAATAAATAAATTACAAAGTTGGCAATGTAAAAAAAAATATTGAAACACCGTAGGTGAAAATTCCCTACCATTGCTTGGTTTTGAGCTGAAAGTCCTCCCTTTCATAGAAACAGATGACATGATTGATCTCCAGACGCTGGAACAGAACAATGATGGTCCAAGTACTTTGTTATGTGAATTACAAACGTGACCAGAATATCTCACAGATTGAAGTGAGACAACTGCCAAATAATTGACTTTTAGAATAAGTGACTTTTAGAATCTAGAATTTGCGACCATTACATCGTTTGTACACGATAATAACAAAAAAATGCCTTGTTGCTATGGCTACAAGCGCCATGAGCGCTGAGCCAGATCCCAGATGAAATCATAGACAACCAACTACAAAAGAGTTTTTTTATTTTGCTTTGCTTTTTAATGGGAAGAATCACAAAGTCTCGCCACGAAACTCCTCAAATTTTCCATCACCCGTATTTACAGACAGGACATACGTTGCAAATGATCTCTTTTTTAATAATCTTGCATTACTCGCGGTCAAACGTACTGGAAACGGAAACGGTAGGGACGGATTGTGAGCGAGAGAGAGAGAGAGGGCGTAACAGAAAACAAAAGAGTAGTGACAGTAGTCAAGCAGCAGACGAGCGAATTAAGACGCGCTGAACGACGGGGAACTGCCTTTTTTCGACCTTTTTCCCCTAGTTTCTGAAAAGAACACTCTTTCTATTGCATAAATTCCGATAGAATAAAGACCGGAGTTGTTTTTCTGTGGCACCAGATTTGCGACAGGCCTTGGCGAAGGTAAGAAGGGTCTTTGTTTACATAGGCCAAAATCGAATATTTTCACATGATTGTCATCGAGTACAGGTGGTGGAGCTACATTTATTTTAATAGTACTTCGGCACGATGTTTCTCTACTTACATCCTACATAAATATCTATTACACCAACTCTGAAACCGATTTCTATGTTGTGACTGTGGTTTTAACCTTATGTCAACATCCCAGCACAAGCAAGGAAGGATGGTTGGGGGATTCATAGATTTGGAAGAGTTCATTTGCACATTGATAATTTGTTTCATATCACTCGGAAAACGTCTATAATACTGTTACTTTTCTTATTTCAGATGTCAGATGTACAAGATTTTTGTTTGAGATGGTCAAGCTATACTCAGCAGCTTAGTGAAGCGTTGAGAACTCTTCTGGATAGAGAGCTGCTCGTTGATGTAACACTTGCCTGTGATGGAAGGTCTCTACGTGCGCATCGGGCAATCCTCTCTGCATGCTCCTCATATTTTCAGGTTTGTCTTGACAAACCCTGAGGGCTGGATTTTATTTCAATATTTTGCTCCTTTTTGGTTTTGCACTTCACCAAAGGACATAATTTTTTTCTGATTTCAGGACCTTTTTCAAGAAAGCACACATCCTCACCCTATTGTAATTTTAAAAGATGTGAGATACCACGAATTGGAGGCTTTAGTAAAATTTATGTACCATGGGGAAGTAACAGTGAATCATGACACATTACCAGGCTTCTTACGGACAGCAGAAACTCTTCATGTGAGAGGGCTTACTGATAATGCTCTGTCTGGGAGTACCTCTACTCCTAATTCATTTAAGGTTTGTTTGTGAATTAGGAATGAATTTGTTGAATTCAAAATGCCTAACAGCATGAATTTTTATCCATAGGTGGATAACGGAAATCAAAGAAGCTTGGATGATGATGAGTCTTTCACTGGTCAAGAAGGCAATTCAACCACCGCCCAGCGACTTTCTCCTGTTCTCATGAAACGTATAAAACTGGAAATGCCGAGTACTTCTCAGTACCAACATTCTGTTGGGCTTCCACATTCGGTCAGTTTTTGATCATCAAAGCTTAAAAACCACAGTAATCTCTTGATATCTTGAACTGTATTTAAAAACAATTGGTTTTATAATTTTCATTATCATCATAGGACATTGATGAAAATTTGAATGGCCATAGTACAGAGGAGCATTCTTCTGAACAGGACCCTCACTGCCCCATTGGATCGGATGACATGCCTGCTCACTTAAACCAAGAACAATACAATGTACCAAGATCTGTGAGTTTTTACATTTATCAGTTTTGTTTTGTTTTGCTTTGCTTTCTATCTGATCCACCATTTATTAATTATCTTCAGGTGACTACTTTGGATGGATTGAGCCAGCTTGTTATGCCGGTTTTACATGAGGATACCTCCCACTCCTCTCATTTTGTTGGTGAGTGCTGTACTTACTGATGTTCTTGAACTTCCAGAATACAATAGTTAAAAAAATGAGTTAATGCATACATTTTTAAAAATAGGTGCTAACATTCAAAACCAACATCATCAAGTGCCACAACAGCAGCAGCCCATCTCTCACCAAGCAACACAACACAGTACTAATAATTCAAATACAACATCTAGTGGAGCAAGTCGTCCATTTCGTCAAAGAGTATTGTACAACCAAGAACAACTATTACAATTGGAGGCTTGGTATCGTCAAGATCGTTATCCAAGTGGTGCCCACATGCATGAATATGCTGATACATTAGCTGCAATGGTACCCAATACTCCAGGCAAGTATATTTGTTTATTTTTTTGAATGTTTAAATTTTCTCTTTAATTTGTCTCGCAACTAAATAGCTTCTGTTTTGTATATTTCAGGAAGCATAGGCGCACAACCCATGCGACAAAATGTTGACTACTGGTTCCAAAATAGACGTCGCAAAGACTTTCACCCTGAAGTCATGCAGCAACGTGAGAAGAAGAAATTAGCCAAAACCTTGTGGGGCAATTACAATGGCAATAATGGCAATACACCCACTACCTCTGGGGATGGCACCAACAGTCTCTCAGAACATAATGGTTCCGCTAGCAGCAGATGATACACACCTTTTTAATTTGACACAATAATTATATACATGGCAGCATTAGCGAGTGACTTCTAATATAAGTTATTTTTAAATGGTAGAAATAACATTCTTATTAAGTATAGACATACTATTGTGAAAACGATTTTAGTACCCACACACCTAGTCAAGAGGCAACTGTAGATCATTTCATTTTGTGTACCAATAACATGACATTGCTATTTAACTGTTCATCTAAGTGTAAATAATAATAATAATGGCTCACTTGTTACTAACAACATTTCTCCTTATATATAAACTGGAGAGTAATTTTCTTTGTGTGTTTTCCTCGTCAAAATATAAAATTATATTTTAGCATTTGATGTGTTAGTGGTGAATTATTTCTTGCTTACTCCTTTGACTGGTCTTTCCTGTAAAAATGCTTCTGTACACTGTGCATGATATTTTATGATAATAATATGTTTTGTTTTGGTTTATTAAAGTAATACTTCTAAAACCAAAGTTAAGTCCATGTTAATTCATAAACCAATGTCTACTGGCACTGTCGGCACGTGCGAAAAACAAACACCTACCACACCCCACCCATGTATTGTGAGCCAATAAGTGGTTTACCAAGCAGTGCCAGCAAAACAGCATATTTAAATATTGCACTACACGAGACAAATCTATTCTCATCTTAGAATGCCCACAAAAGACATAGATCACATGTAACTTAAAAGCAGAATTGCTAACAAGTCTCAGTGTGAGAAAACTTTGTTTACAGTCTTCATGTCAACAAGTGACTCCAGTCTTGACACACAGACCGCCACCGCCGGTCGCTGTTCCCGCCCGCGTGTCACATCCACATCTCACACTTGTTATGGAGTCTTATGAAAAGATCAAAGTTGTAGGACGAGGTTCACATGGGTAATTTTGTAGTGTACTACTAGAAGAGGAGTTTCCTTGCTCTTTTACTACTTCAAATGAAGTTGAAAATGAGATTGCCCATATAATTACAGGTTGGTGTCCCTCTGTCGTAGAAAGGACACCAGTTTAGTTATTCTTAAAGAAGTTGCAATTGATCATCTTACAGAAAAAGAGAAAGAGGTAATACAGAGCTCATGAGCCATCCTAGCTGTTCTCAATGCTATCTCTACCTCATTCTTTGCTTGCAGGCAACCTTAAATGAAGTCCTTGTTTTATCGAAGTTGCATCATCCCAATGTCATAGCATACTTTGATAATTTTATTCATGATTCCTCAGTCAAGATAGTCATGGAATATGCAAACAGAGGAAGCCTCCATGACTTCTTAGAATCTCAGAATGGAACACACTTACCACAGGAAGTACATACATCTTCATCAAAAAATCAAAAGTGCTTTTTATGTGGCTTTTCGGCCCCAAATTTTATTGCGTGTTATCTTTGCAGGATGTCATGCTAATGTTTACCCAAATAATTCAAGGGTTGCACTATATTCACAGCCAAAAGATCTTGCATAGAGATCTGAAAACCCACAACATATTTGTCAGTCATGAGCCAAACGTCTTTTCGATGCCAATTCTCAAGATTGGAGACTTTGGAATATCCAAAGTCCTTATGAGGTATTCATCAGGTAAAACTTTCTCGTGTTTACCTACACAATGTTCTTTCAAATGTTTTTTTTTCTTCTTTTCAGTCAAAGTAAAGCTAGCACAGTACTGGGAACACCTTCCTACTTGTCACCAGAACTTTGTCAAGGCCAAATGTATGATGAGCACAGTGATATATGGGCTTTAGGATGCATTCTGTACGAAATGCTTACCTTCAAAAAGGCATTTGAGGCACCAGTAAGTTGGGAATTTGCTTTTCCACTGCAGTGAATTAATTGATCTTACTGATGCTCCCCTTATTTCAGACATTAGCTAATCTTGTCATCAAAATTATTCATGGGAAAGTGCCATCAATTGATTCTTCAAAATATACAGTAGGAATGGAACAGCTTCTCCACTCCATACTACAAACTTCCCCTCATGATCGTCCCACAGCAGCAATGCTCCTTTCCCATCCATTGGTGTGTGCATCACTTTGCACAGTGGGCACGAACCTCGGCAGAATCAATCAGGAATGAAATCAAGGACAAATATCACGTTGTAGAGTGGTTTAATTTTTGTTACAACCTGTTTAGCAATAGAATAAATGTAAAGCAAGAAAAATTACAACATCTTCCAGTAGTAATCATCTGCTCAAGGTGGCTGCTCCCTGTAACTGAGAAGATAGTGATTCAATTTCCAAAGTAAATAAAATCTGTTTTAAAAAAGAGAGATCAATTTTGACAAAAAATTATTTTTGTAGTGTTTTATCCATGCATGTGGGAACAGTATTTGGACTGGACATGCACAAGAATAAAGTTTGAATCGCTTCTCATCCTTTTGCCTATGCATGCCCTCATAATGAATGTAAACAAGACTAAACAATTTAGGTACAATTTATTATGTGCACAAGTCACATTCGTTTTGACTGATACATTTGTAGTAGTTCTGTTCTTTCCAGACATAACATCATCATTGCAATAGTTTTAACAGAAAAAAAAATCACAACAAGGAAATAAGTGGTAAATTAAATGAGTCTCAAAACATACATTTAAAAACCCCTATAGGGAAAACATGACCAATCAAATAGTTGACCAGGCAATTTTTCCCATGCACTTGGAAGATTCATACTTACCTGTAACCAAATACAGAAGAAAAAAAGTTGTGGGGAGGGGGTTTAAAGCAAAAGAAATAATGTGATGAGAGTTTCAGAACAAAAAGGAAGGGAAAAAAAAAAGAAGGTAGGTCCGATCATAAGAAGGCTGTCCCAAAATATGAAACCAAATGAGAAATGAAATGATGTAGTGCCAATGGTTGTTTCTTTCTTGGTAAAGTGTCTCCAGTCATTCGGTTCTTTGAAAAATCACTGAAGTAAAACTTCAAGATTCTAATTCCCATTTGATGTGTGACTAGTATCCATTGGTTCCTCTTCTTCTTCCTCCTCAGCTACTGCTGCCGCTGCTGAAGCAAGGCCTGGAAAGAAAACAACAAGTAACGTGAAGGCATTCATAACAATGAATACATAGAAACGTTGTGGCGCAAACTGCATTTAGGTACCTTTGGCTGTTTCCTTTTTACCAGGAATTTGCCCCGCTTGAAGCAACCGGTTGAGGCGCTCAATTTCTTCCAGTGAACTGGCTTTAGAGATAGCTTCTCGCATCTTCCAAAGATCTTCCGCAGAGGGTCCTGAATGTGAAATAGGATAAAGTAGATATCCACAAATTTCAAGACACTTCTCTAAATATGGAAAACACACTTAAATAATCATACCTTTGTTTGCTGGGTTATCAACAGGTAATCCCGCACCGGGAACAAATGTTTTCGCCTTCTTGGCAATTTCTCTCTGAATTTCTTTTCCAACTTTACTCTTAAACAGAGTTTTTGCTTCGTCCCTCTCCTGAAAAATGAAACACAAAAAACATGAGTAACAACAATAAATGAGACATGGAAATGGAACTGAACTGGGCGAACCCACCTTCTGCTTAATCTTTTGGAAGTCAAGTAGTCTTAACTGTGGTAGCTTATAAATGAGGTATAATCTGTAGTGTGGCCTGGAAGTCACTGGATTATATAACAAACTCAATGTGCTCAGGTTTTTAAGATTTGTGAGAGGATCCAGATCCCCCAATTCTTGCATTTGATTTCCTGTTAAAATTAGAGACTCCAAATTGGGGACTTGTTCTCCAAGAGAATCAGATATTCTCCTGAGAAACAAAAATTTGAAGACATTGAATTAGAGATAAATTTCTATTCAAACAAAGACAAAGAGTATTAAGTTTACACTTACACAATTCTGTTATTGTTTAATAGTAGACACTTTATTCTTTTCAAAAGAGGGAAACCATCCAGCTTCCTGACATCATTGTCGGACATGTCAATGGTATCAAATTGATCCTGAAACACACCATTTCAAACATTAAATGAGAGCAACATAATTAGTATGGTGGTTGCATGTGCAACAGCTAAGACTGCCACTTACCATAGTTGCACCCATGTTTTCGATTACTGGTATTTTATAGCCTGTAGAGCAAAAGATATATTTAAACTTTGTGACAGAACATATCAAACACTTCAACAGCAGCACTGACACAAAAAATAAACTTGGTACAGTTCACGGAAATATATAGGTTAAGGAGATTATAATCAAACCAGTAAACAGAGATAACAAACGTTCGCACAAGTTTCAAAATTTGTTAAATTGACAACGCCTCAACCATGGAATCGCGAATAACACCGACAGGCGACAACAGACGTAATCTCTTGATGCCTGTTGTGATTGATGTACAGTGTTGAGGTTAGTCGGGGTGGCGGGTAACGCCGCTTTACCTCGTAAGTCCAGCTCGCGGTCCCGCACCGGATTGATGTACTGCATCGACTGGTTGATCAAGTCTGGCGTTAACTTCACCATTTTCGATTGACGTAATGTACAACAAGTGAAATCGAGTGAAACAATAACACAAAAATGCCGCTATGAACGCTGTTTACAACATCGCATGTCGCCAGCCGAGACAGGAAGACGACAGTTAGACCACAGCACCGACGCTCGAAACGCTTGGGGCAGTGGACCTGCCCTGGACTAGACTTCAACCCCATCTTTTTCGTTAAAATGCCCATTTAAAATTTTAAAAACTGAAGCGACGAAGGTGCTCCGAAAAAATCAGCGAATATGGGATATAAGAGGTGGCGGGGAGCAAAGCTAATATTTTTCAAGGTTGCACATCCCGTCGAAACAGACGGCAGGGCGGACAGGGCTAGCAGCGCCAAAGTACAAACGGTGGCGGCGCGGCGACAAACACCATCGTCGCTCTGTCTCTCTCTCGCACTCCTGGGGCGTACCGTAGGCCGTCGGCTGCCGTCGGGGTGCGAGAGAGGCAGCGTGACGAGACGAGCACGGCGGTGGGGACCATATGCACTAACGCCGCGGCGAGGCAGGCGGGGCGTGGCGGCGTGGCACGGGGCAGACAGGCGTCGATAAGGGCGCCCGGCACGGCAGACTGATTCCGAACGGCCACCGCTCTGTCTCTCTCGCACCTAGGTTGCACGCCGAGTGAGTGCGAGCGAAATCGCCCCGACTCTGCAGCACTGGGTGGCTGCCCAGGCTGCCTGCCCAGGCTGCCCCCCGGTCCCGGTGGAGGAGGGCAAGCCCCGCAAGCAGCGAGGCGCCCCCAGTCTTGTCAGTGCAGTGCAGCAGGCCAGTACGCGACACCGGCTCGTCAAAGTCCGTCAGCGACCAGCGTTGTCGAGACGCTCGGACGTGCCCATGCCGCCGCACCGCGCGGCCGCCTGCAACCCCTGCAACCTGTGCCTGTAAGGCCCCCCCATCATGGCTCAAGCCGAAGGCGTCCGTGGTCGGCTTTCCTGGACCGACATGCAGAGGGAGCTTCATCGAGACGGCTCGGGGTAAGTGGGTGTCGCGTTTCGCCCCGCCACGCGCTGGTGGTACTTCCCCCGCGCCGGGGGGGGGGGGGGGGGGAGCCGGCCGGGTTGGAGGCATGTCCAGTGCATTACGCCTCCGTCTCGTTTCTGGCGAGGAGTACAACAGAGGCAGTTTTAGTTCCAGTCAAACAACTTCCTATGATTTAAATCATTCAGTGAGAGCCTCATGAGCCTCTTGACCCCCTCCCCCAAACAGCTTTTCGTCGGTGCGTCGTGTTGAACCATATCACTTTTTGTTGCTCTTCTTCTTCTTCTTCTTCTTTTTTAGAAAATATATTGAATGCCAATTTGCCGTTGTAGGGTATGTCCTATGCCCGCTTTTCGCCCTGAAGTTCTCTCTAAAGTTCTCACTCGTTGAACTTTGGCCACCCTGGCACCGTGTAAACAAATCGTCACTTGTCTCTAAGCGTCGTCTGCTGTCTTTGAAGTTTAACCGCGTACATAGTCCTAAAGCAGCTAGTTGATCTCGTCGGAAACCTTGACCGTGTGGAGAAAACTGACTGATAACATCTCAAGTAGTTAGAGTAGGAGGGTTTGACACGTCTGGCTTTGGCCCAATACTTTATCACCACGGCCGTCAAAATAAGGTATGTGAACTGGCTAGACGAACTCTCTTATCATAACCTACACCCATGCCGGATTTTTTGTGAGGATTCGAGTCGGCCGCATTGGTCCTGACCTTACTGATCTTGCTATTCGTTGATGAAAAATAGACGTCATGTCATCCCGGAAAGTTCTCACTCTTACCCTTGTAAGAAACTCAGTGGGAGATATTCTGTTGGGACTGAAGAAGCGAGGATTTGGTGAGGGCAAGTGGAATGGATTTGGTGGAAAAGTTGAGCCAGGTGAATCTATTCTTCAAGGAGCTGCACGGTAAGATGAGCTCTAAGTGGGCCTTGTCTGCAATGTGGCTCGGATTGTTTTGAAAGTGGCGTCTTCATTTCAGTGAATTAACAGAGGAATGTGGTCTGAAGGCACATTCTTTGACTAAAGTTGGCCTCCTTGATTTCGACTTTATTGATGACCCTATGAGGCTAGAGGTTCATGTGTTCTGCACCTCAGACTACTCTGGAACTGTTATTGAAACAGAAGGTATGTGTTCTTCAAAAGTAAATGTGCTGTTTTAATGGCAGTTTCTGCTATTAAAGTCAGATGTTATCGAATGAATAAGTATACTCTCAAATCCAAATTTCTTTCTCACAGAAATGAAACCGAAGTGGTACAAGGTTGAAGACATTCCTTTCCACGAAATGTGGCTCGACGATCCTATTTGGTTCTCATGGTACCTGAAGGGCGGACCCCAATTTAAAGGATACTTTTTGTACAAAGGACTCGATAAAATTGTCGAGCAAGAAGTGAAGTCAACGGATGTCCCTCGAGAGACTACATCTTGTACTTGATACCCTGTCGTGTTTTGAGGTCCTAAATAAATTTGCTGCAATCCTTGCTGCCAAAGTTGAGTCTGTGTTGCTCATTGCTGAGATGGAATTGCGGCCCAGCCGCGTCGCGACTCGTCGCCAGCCAACGACTTGTTGAGGCACTTGCTGTCCTGCTTTGCGCGCCGCCTCGGCCGTCTCGTCTCGGCCGCACCACGCTAACAGGCGCGATAAAGCGTCGCGCATCGCCAAGGAGGCCAAGCAGGCCAAGCAGGCCAAGCAGGCCATGAGGTTCCTCAGGCCCAGCCCCTCATGGGGCGTCCGGTCGGGCGCGAGAGAGACAGAGCAACGGAACGCCTTTCGGCCAGGAGGGAAGGCCAAGATGCAGCAAGGAGCGGGACTGGGGCTTCGAGGGGACTCTGTGGTCTGCCAGGGCTAGGCACGGGCAGGCAGGGCGCGACGGAAAGATAGCCTATCTGGATGCGAATCGAATCGAATCCAACTCCGCGGCTCGCACTTTGTTCCTCGAGACTTCTCTGCGATAAAAGGCAAAATGCGAGCCGGGCAACAGGAAGGGGTCCGCGTCGTCGACGTCGTCGGGGTCGGATTCGCGAAGCCAGCCAAGCGCACTTGGCACACTGCTGCCGTGTGAGCGTTTTGCGTTTTGCGGCAACAATGTCTGCATGCTGGAGGACAGGACGAGAGAGAAACAGACTGCTGCGCGCTGTCTCTTTCGTCCCTGTTCGGGTCGAGCGGCCGGCTGGCGCGGCGAAAAAGCAGCGGCGACCCGAACCGAAAGGCCCGAGAGGCCCGAAAGCCGAAAGAAGCCGAAACGGTTGTCGGAAGCGTGCACGATAACCCGCGCCGACCTGCGTGTATCGCGGCCCTCAATTACCACTGTGTAATTCCGTGTTCTGCTAATCATCGCCTGCAGTTTGTTCGGTTTGCTCGGTGGACTCGCCAATCTTTGCAGCATTTCAGCCTTCAGCCCAGCGGAGACCGGGACTGACCGGCACCCGGCCGCGGCACTGGGGCGTTGCGTTGCGGCGTCCGCCCCGTCCGCCTGCCGGCGCGGTCCATCCGCGGACGTTGCCGCCGATCAGCTGGTGCAGGCTGGTGCACTGCCCTGGCGTGCCCTGGCGGTGCCCCGGCGGCCATCCGTGGCCCGGGCCCACTGCCCGCTACTCGCCCTAGTGCTGCCGACGTCGAGCCCCCCCAGGGCCTCCCCGCCAGAGCCCCTTCCCTTCCCCACAGGCCTCGCCCTGGGCGGGGCGTGGTGGCCGCGGTCCACGCAGTGCGACGCAGTGTCGCGCGGCGATGCGCGGCCGCTGCCCGCGGCGGGACTCGCCGATGTCGGCGTCCTCGTTTTCCTTTCTCCGCGAGGATGGCCTGCACAGCTTGGCACCGTGCTGGCACAGCCCTAGCACGGCCAGCGATGCCTGCGATGCGGTGGGCTCGTGTGTGTGAGTGCCGAGGCGGAGCAAGTCGGGAAGGGGCTGAGCGAGCTGCAGCGGCTGGCGGGGCGGGGCGGGGCGCGGCGTTGAACGGGATAGGACGGGCCGGGCCGGGCCGGCGGGGCCGCGGCGTGTCAGTGTGGCGTGGAGCACGCCGCCGCACGCATCGCGCACCACCATGTGAGCATGGCGGCCCGTGACGCGGCCGCTGCCGGCGCCCTGGCCGCGTGGTGGTCCAGGCCCTCCTGGCCGTGGTCCTGCTTGTCCTGCTGGGCGTCGGACCGCCACCGGCCGCCGGCCAGGATCACCTTGCGGACGCCGCGCGCCGTGCTGCGCCAGGAGCTGCTCAGGAGGTGAGCTTCGTCGTCGTAGTGTACGCCGTTCGTCGTGGTCGTCCAGGCCGTCCAGGCGGACGTCAGGACTAAGTGGCGGCCGCGGCGGCCTGGCGCCTCGCGACGACGAGCTTAACGAGCCTGACCTGCTGCAGCGCGGCTCGTGGGCGCCTTCGTGGCGCCTTTGGGGCCCTGGCTGGGAGAATGAAAGGGTTTGCGTCATGGAGTCGTTTTGTAGCTCTATCAAGTCCTGGAGCGGTCGGCCGGGCGGACGGCCAGGCAGGCGGCGTGGGGACTTTCACAAATTCCTTCGGCATGCAGGAAGCGGCACACCCCGTGTTTTACGTTCCGGATGAATGTGTCGGCAGGCGCCGCGGTGCTGGCCGTGCAGGCCGGTCAACTAGTCAAGCATCCAGGCGAGGCGTGCTAATTGACCGCCAAGGCGGTCCTCGCGAACGCGGCACAAGCCGGCGCTGCTGGCGCGGCCTTCACTTCCTAGTGAAGGTAAAGGCTGCGATGTTTCGGGCCGGCTCCTCCGAGTGCGGCGTCGGTGCCCGTGGCGGCCTCGGCGGGTTCAAGTACCGCCGGCCTGTTTTTCGATGCTCCAGTTTTTCTCGTGGGACCGCCCGCCCGCGCGACCGTCCGTCGTCGGCAGCGTCGCAGCCTATCAGCGGCGCGCGGTGTGGGACTGGGACCGGCACGGACCGGCAAGAGCTAATACTTGTGCAAGCTATAGAGCCATGTCGTGTTTGGGGTCAACACGGCGGAGGGAGGGCCTGCGCGGGGGGCGGCGGACCGGGCGGCAGATATCAGTGGCAGTCCCTGGGCAGTCCAGCCGCGCCGGCCCACGCCGCGCCGGGACAGTCTGACTGCGTGGCGTGGCATGGGCCCAGCCATGCCGGCAATACGGACTTTCACCTCGCGACGCATTTGTCTCGTTTTGCCCCGTGTTGATGGCCGTGATGCGGTTCGCGGCATGCCGCCAATGGCATTAGTGTCCGCGCCGCTGTCCTCTGCCGGTGGGGAATGACCTCGAATGAAGTAACCACTGCTACTGCAAATGTCGATTAAACTGAGGGATGGCGCTCGGGCCAAACAACACCCTGCGCGTCCGCCAGTTTTGGCTTTGACTGCCCCTCGGCCCACTTTCGCCCGGTCACACCGGTCACACGCCCCGCGGCGCGGCGCGCCCTTGACGCCGTGGTTAATTGCGTTCGGCGCGAGGTTGTTGACACGTCAGAAGACACGCGCGACGACGTGCCTGGTCCATTGTCTCACGGCGCGGCCGTACGCTCGCAGTGAAAGTGGGCGCCACTTTGGCACGCGCACGGCCGTGCCAGACTGTGCGCCAACGATGCACAGTGGGGCAAGCAAAGCAAGGCCGAAGAGTCGTTTCCTCGCCCTTTCTTTGTCGCACCCACGGTCCGTCCCTACGTGTGCGAGAGAGGCAGCACGACGGTGCTATCGGTACCCTTGTGAGTTCGATGAGTCGGCTGCGCGTCCAGGGTGTCCGGCCACGCTGCCCCACTGGCGCTGTGGGGCACTGCACGCCGCGTCGCCGCTATCGCGTTGGTGCCCTGGCGGCCCTGGCGGCCCTCGGCGATAACTTGCAGTGCTATTCGCTGACCCGCGCGCCATTCTGCCCCTGCGGCTGTTCACAGAGGCGGCGCGGGGCGCGGGGAGCCCGAGGATGACGGGTGCGGCGTGCGGGACTGGTGCCGCGCCGCGCTGTCCCTGGCCGTCACCGCCACGGCCTTCGGGGCGGCCTTGATGATGCTGCCCCCGCTGCTGCTCATGTACTGCGGTGAGTACCGACCTTGTTGGCGCTCTAGTCCTACGCGTGCTGCCGGAAGCTAACGCAGGGGAGGCCCTTACAGTGGTGTCCCGCGTGCGCACCACGTGGCTGGGCGTGCTGGAGCGCCGCTACCCGCAGCTGGAGTTCGTCCGCAACACGACGGTGCGCACGGCCGTGGACACGATCCGCAACCAGGGCGTGATCGCGCTGCTGCTGACGGTGCAGGGCGCGTGCGACGCCCGCCGCGTGCGCGACAGCCTGCACCACGACATCCTGGACCAGCGGCACCCCGACGGCCGCCTGCGCTTCCCGCACCTGCGCACCCCGCTGACGCAGCGCTGGGGCCGGTACGCCTGGAAGCGCGACGACGCCGTGCACTTCCAGCTGGACAAGCAGCTGCTCATGTGCAGCGCCGCCTTCCGGGGCCGGCCCGTCACCGACAACAACATCCAGGTGAGCGTCTTGCGGTCTTCCGCCCGTCCTAACGTCCCCGTAACCCTCGCCGTCAAAAACCCACCATGGCACAGGCGCCTGCGAAGAGAGGGTAGGCACGCCCGCCACGCACCCCGGTTGAACAGGACAGCCTACCGCCCGCGCCACAGGCGCCTTCTAGCGCCTGCGAAGAGAGGATAGGCACGCCCGCCACGCACCATCGTTGAACGGGACAGCCTACCCTTTGCGCCACAGGCGCTCCGGCTGCCTTTTCACGCACTTGGTCTCGCTTCCAGGAGGTTGTCAGCGACCTGGTGTCCAAGTACCTGCCCGCGGAGCTGCCGCCCTGGCAGATCGCCCTCATCCCCATGCCGTCGGCCGACCGCTACTTCGTGCTGATCCGCATGCACCACCTGCTGCTGTCCGAGGACGGCCTCAAGCTGACCGACCTGCTGCAGCTGACTCGCCAGCACTCGGACTACGCCCACGTCGTGAGTCTGCCCGGCGTGCGCCGCCACTGGGGGAGGGAGGGCCCACACTGCCCGCAGCTCGCTCACCGCGGTCTTTGATTCCAGACGGAGATGGCGCCTGTGGGCCACCTCCTGGAGGGCATGCTGGAGACCCCGGTGGCCATCCCCGCGCTGTACGAGCGCCTGTGCGAGTCCGTGGCGAACCACTGGAACGAGCTGATCGCCGTGTACGACCCGCTGGAGAACCCCAAGGTATGTCCCGGTGCCGGTCGCGGCCTCGGTCGCGGCGACCATGGCGGCGACACCATGGTGACACGGCCCCTGCTGTTGCAGATGCTGACCAAGCCCACGCTGCTGGGGCTGTCCATGGCGCTGCTCATCTCCCTCGTGTCCGCCGTGCCCGAGGTGCTGTCCGCGTGGCGGTGGACGTCGGCCGGGACGCAGGCCGGGACGCAAGCCGGCCGCGGCTGGAGTCGCGACAACGCCAGCGCCAGGGCCTCGTGGTGGGAGGCCGCGGTGGGCGCGGTGCGCGCGCAGGCGGCGCGGCGTGGCGTCACCTCGGCGTCGTGGAGCGCGGCCTGGCGCAGCGCGCTGTGGCGCCTCGTCATGTTGGCCGTGTCGCCGCCCGCCCTCGTCTTGGCCGCCGGCATCTCGGGCTACCGCATGTGGCGCGGCGCGGGCAGCATGGCGCTGCGGATCGTCCTGGTGCTGGCGCTCGAGGCCGCCCTGCTCACCAAGTACCGCGGCAGGTACACCGGTAAGCGTCCTCCTGGTGTCCGCGTCGAGCGTTGCGGTGGTCCGTGTGTCTGACACCTCTCCCTGCCCACAGAATCCCTCATGGCGCGGTCGCCGTACCTGCGCCTGGGTTGGCAGTCGCTGCTTGAGGCGGCGCGCCTAGCGAGCCTCGTCTTCCACGCGCCGCGCCTCCTCGTGGAGGACGTGCTGCTGTCCAACCGCGACCAGGCGCCGCACCACTTCCAGACCGTGTCGCTGTGCGGCCGGAAGGTAAGCACCGCGCGTTGGGAGTGGCGCGAGGCGCGCGAGGCCCGCCAGAGGGTGGCGTTGACACGGTTCTGCCGCTCTGCTGCAGGTGGTGGCGTGGTCGGACCCGTTCCCGCAGGACCTGATCCAGCAGGTGGCCGAGGCGACGGGGGCCTCGTCCAGCGAGGTGTGCCTGTCGGCGCTGTGCGGCGCGCTGCGGGAGTACTTCCGCTCGCACGGGCTGGCCGTGCCGGAGAACGTGCTGACGACGGCGCGCTACTGCCTGCTGGAGGAGCTGGTGGGCGGCACGGCGTACGGCGGCTCCGGCGGGCTGGCGTGCCTCGCGCTGCCCGTGGCCGACGCCGGCAAGGACCCCGTGCAGCTGGTGCAGGAGGTGCGCTCGCGGATGCTGCAGGTGCGGCGCCGCCAGAGCGCGCTGTGGGTGCTGTCGTCGTGGCAGCTGGAGCGCGGGCTGCTGACGAGGCTGCTGCCGCAGCTCCTGGTGCGGCTGCACCTCAACTTCCTGTCGCGGCGCTACGCCGTGGCCCTGACCGAGGTGGCGTCCGTGCGGCCCGAGCACCCCGCCGGCAAGCTGTGGGGGCAGCCCCTGCACTCGCTCATGTACTGGCGGCCGCCCCAGGCCAACGTCAGTGAGTACCTCCCCGACGACCCCCTCCCCGCCCTCGCCCCGCCCCCTTGCTGACGCGTCGCTCTGCCCGCAGGCCTGTCGCTGACGCTGCTCACGGTGGACTCGATGGTGAGCCTGGGCGTCATGTCCGACGCGCTGCTGTCGCCGCAGCAGGGGGTCATCGCGCGCGCCTGGACGCAGCACCTCCGCGACCTGGCCCGCGCCGTGGGGGTGGCGCTGCCCTCGCCGCGCGCCCTGTCGCCCTCGCCGGCCCCCGCCTTCTCCGTGCTGCACCTGCCCGCCGGCGACGTGGACGACGCGGACCTGGACGACGAGTGAGGCCCGCTGTCGCCCCCTCCGCTATTTATTGTTTGTCTTTGGTTTGACGCGCCCCCAGTCAGGGGTTCGGTTCGGACGCGGGCGGAGCGCGCGCTCGTGCCCGTGCCCGAGTTTTTTTGCACGCCATTCGTCAAAGCGTGCCTTGACATTGACATCCGGTCACTGGGTCACTGCAGACCGGTCGTTGTTCTGTCGGAAAAATAGTCAAAGTTACCAATGTGCCTGAATGTTAACGATGTAATGTATCTGTATATGTGTGTGGCGGTGTGCGGCAGCCACTGTGGGCGGCCTGCACAGGGAGAGGCAATGTTATAGTCGTTGTGTGGAGACTGATTACATGGTATAATTTCATTTTCATCCCATAGTGTTATGTTTTTCTAATAATTTTTTTACAATGATAAATATGACAATGGCTGTTCTTAGCTTGTTCTGTAGGTCTAAGTGTAAGTCATGCTCTGCGAGGTTGTGTTTTAATGTGTTTTATTGTGCTGTTTTTACGTGGACGTTGTATGCGGGTGGAGTCATTAATTAAATGCCATTATCGTAACGCATCTACGCTGTCGATGTTTATTTGCTACCCCCGCCTTCACCAGTACAGCACCGTGTTGATGGACCTCGGCGTCAGGGGGATCTGCATGGCGCCGCGGAACACGTCGGACACCGTGACGGTCTTGTTGGCGTCTTTGCTGCAACACGATGGAAACAATGAGGCTGCAGCAGAAGCAGGGACAGCCGGCGTCCGGCGCTACTCACGAGTTGAAGAAGATGACGACGGTGGCGCCGTCCTGGCGCGCGAAGGCCACGGTGCGGACGCCTTGCGAGGACTCGGGCTCCACCTTGACGCGCACAGAACCCGGCGCCAGGAACTTGGAGAAGTGCCCGATGGCGTAGAAGGTGGGCTGCTTGACGAACTCGTCGTTCTCGGCGTCCACCAGGATGGACGTGTCGACGAAGTTGCCGGACCAGCTGGGGCCGCCCTCCATGTCCAGGACGAGGGACCACTCCATCCAGCCCGTCACCCAGTGGTTCAAGTCCTGCAGAGAGACGGTCTCACAGTGGTGCGTCGCCTGACTGCCACTGCCAGCCGGCGGCCTGGCAGGCAACCCCTCACACAGGCGTCGCCGCCAGTCGCTGCCGGCACGTGGGAAGGGAACGTCTCCCCAGTTGTTCCTCAAAGAACTCACGTCCAGAATGTCGACGATGTAGTCCTCGGCGCGCTTCCAGGAGCCCAGGATCACCTTCCGGAAGTCCCAGTTGTTGAAGCCTGCCATAATGGGTACTTTGGTTAGAGGCCAGCCGGGTCGCTGTCGGAGTGGGTGTGCTGAGGTCGGTGAGGTACAGACCACTGCTCGCTTCCGTGCCCAGGATGAACTTGTCCGGGTGGTTCTCGTGGGACATGTCGAGCCCCAGCAGCGGGGTGAAGTAGTTGGTGTACCAGTGCAGGGCGATGCCGTCGACGTATGCCGAGGCGTTCTTGTAGGAGAACACCTGCCGAGCGGAAGTAGCAGCAGTTAGAGGCACTGCGGCGTCGAGGCTCGGCACTGCCGTCGCACCCGACTCACTATGTCTGTCCACCAGGGCAGGTCGATCCTCTGGTCGTCCAGGGTGAGGATGCGCACGTCGGCGTGCTTGGAGGCGCGCCGGTCCGGGCCGCGCAGTGTGGGGCCCAGGTAGTCGCCGACCCAGGAGCGCATTTGGAAGGGCGTCCAGCCCATGGAGTTGAAGCGGATGAGCGGCCCCACCACGCCGTTCATGGGCTCGTTGCCCGTCGTCAGGCCCCAGAAGTGGAAGCCCTCCGCCTCGTACGCGTCCAGGAACCTGCAGGTCCATGGACCACACCCACCCGTTCTGTCTCTCTCGCACCCTTGCGGCCTTGCGGAACGCCAAAGGTGCGAGAGAGACCTGCTGGGGCACATGGCCATGCACATGGCCGAGGCGAGTCGGACCTACTTGAGGTGGTAGTTGGCCCAGGTCTGGTAGTGCTCCGTCTTGAGGAAGCCGAAGCCCGTGTAGTCGTTGTTGGTCTTCATCCATGGCGGCGCCGTCCACGCACTGGCCAGCAGCTGCAGGGGGCGGTCCGCGGGCACGGCCTCGCGCGCCTCCCGCAGCAACGGCAGCTGCAAAAGCAAGTCGAGGTTGGTGCCGAGGACCCCGACGACGCGAAGGCGACGCGAAGGCGACTCGAATCCGGCGTGTACCGCACCTTGTACTCGTGGTCCTCGAAGGCGAGGCTGAAGTTGCCGAGGGCGGCGTCCTCGGGCGCGTCGTGCAGGGTGTACTTGTGGGTGGAGCAGTCGGTGCCGCCGATCGGAATGCGCAGGATGTTGTACTCGATGCCGTCCTCCGAGAAGTACGATCTGCAGGACAGGAGCAAACACTGAGAAAGCTGCGCGTGAGTCGGAAATTTTTGGGATTGAATCCAATGAAGAGCAAGCTTGGAGATTCATTGAACCAGGCGTTGTCCAACAGGACCAGGGACACCCACTCGATGAGGTTTCGTCGCGCGTCCTCGCTCAGGGCCTTGAGGTTGATGCCCGTGGAGTCCGTGACGGTGGCGCCCCAGCCGATGATGGCCTGGAAGCGCACGTTGCTGGTGACTGTGAAGGCGGGGTTGGAGCCGCGCGTCGTTCCTGTGGGCGGAGGTGGAGGACACGGCCAATGGTCATTGGTCCCCGTGCTGGAGTCGTTGCAAAAACGGCCAACTCACGGAATCAGTCAGCAGACACTCACCCTTGGCGTCGAACGCCAGTTCGGAGCGCTCGAAGCGCAGGCCATCCTTGTTGGACGCGTACATGACGGCCACGCCCGGTGGCGACGGCCGCGGCCTGGGCACGTCATCGCAGTAGGTGGCGTTGCACACGCACACGACGGAGCCCTGGCCGTAGTCTCGCGGCTCGCACGGCCGGACGTGGCCCAGCGGCTGTGGCTGTGGCTGCAGCGACCCCCAGCCCCGCCCCCGCGCCGCGGCCTCTGCAGAACGTGCAAAACACAGCCGCCCCGCCACGGTCAGTGCCTGGCGCTTGGTCCCGGCGTCCGAGTCCCTGCAGTGCAGACGGCCTTCCGCCGAGTTTGGAGGTTCGGCGCCGTGCATGTTTGACTCACGCACCCCGCCCACGCGCCGCGCGCCGCGTGTTAGCGAGTACAGGGCTCTAGGCTCGCTGAGCGAACAACAAATAGACACCTTCCGGCGGCTCTGGCGTTCAGCCATGGTAATTTTCCTATTTACATAGGCGCCTAGCCTCGCTTGGCGGCTCGTGTCCTCAGTCCTACAGAGGCAAATGAGCGCTGCTCCACCTGTTCAAAGGGGTCGCGGCCCGCCGTGTGACCCCGTGTGTCGTTAGGGTGACGCTGTTTTCGGGTTCATTTTGCGTTTCGTGCGGGACGCAGCGTGTCAACACGCCTGTTCAAACAGGCTGATATTTCGGCGAGGCTCGGTCTCCGTCGCACTCATGGAGCGTGCCGCAAGGGTGAGAAAGAGAGAGACGGAGCGACGAAACCATTCTTCGGAATCGCGCGGCAGGTCCGCGAATCGTGGCGCGGCACCGTCTGGACGGCGCGTCGCGCTCGCGTCACTGCTGGCGTCACTCCCCGCTGCAACTAACCGCTCTGTTGCTGCCCCCTCGCACTCGTCTCTGAAGGGTGCCAGCAGACTCATTCCGATAATAGTTTCCCTCTGTCGCACCCACACGGGATGCCCCGTAAATGCGGGGGACTTAGAGCTACGAAAACGACTCTTGGAATCAGTCTCCAGAGGATCAGAGCAGCGAAACACTGCGAAATAGCTCTGCGGAAATGCGCATAGCCGGAAAGTACTCGAACGGCCAGGCCAGCCTGAATCCAACGCGTACCTACACTCGATACCAAGCGCCAAGCCTCTGCCAATCAGCCTGGGTGCTCGAGCCAACGCGCTGGGGGAGGGGGAGGGGAAAAGGACAAGTGTCGCACTCGAAGAGCTCGACCTATCATGATTGATTCCTTCAAAATGATTCGTAACAGGACACGTGCTCCCTCCACCCAGGGCAACGGTCATTCGTCGGTTTGGTTTGCCTTTCCTGCATTCCTCGGTTCAGCCACCAAGTTCTCTGAAAAGACTATGGAGATAGTGCCGAACATTTCGAGAGGGACTGTTCGTGCTGCAAGCCGCAGGATTGGCGCGGCCTGGGTGGGTCTGAATCGGCAGGGGGTCGCACAGTGGGCCAGAAGACCGGTGGAGGCGGACAAAACTCTAGACGCGTTTTGAGCTCCAGAGTCGCTTAATGGGACTCGAACCGAACGTATGACCCCACCAATGGATTGCTCTCCAAACGAGGAATCCATTGGTGGGGTCACACGTTCGGTTCGAGGCCTGTTTAGCGACTCTAGAGCTCAAAACGTGTCTGGAGTTTTGTCCGCCTGCACCGGTCTTCTGGCCCACTATGGTCGTTTCTAGTCTAGCCCATCATGTCCATGTTCGCGCCTGCCGGCCGCAGGGGTAGGCAGCGCGTAGTGCGGCGCTGCTCGCAAGATGGGGTGTTGCCTGCCGTCCAGGGTCCAGGGGCTAGGCCCGGGTCGGACCGCCCGCCTCCAAGCGGAGAGTCGGAGTCAGACAGTCCTTTACCCCCTTCTGACCGTGGACACCAACCAAGACCAACCTGGGGGGAGGGCGGCGAGGGCGGCGAGCGACAAGAGAAGTCCGAGCGGGAGAAGCATGCCTCTGCGGCCGCCGGCTGCACCTGTCTGTACAGCACTGAGTGACAGCGCCAGTGGCAGTGACAGCTATTGCCAGCGGTCCCGGCGGTCCCGGCCGCAGAGCAAGCTTACATAAGGACTCCCGGACCGCCCTTGTGGGGTCCTCCGTCCCCCCGATAGTGGGTGGGGCGATTGCTGTCTTTTCTTCCTCTCAAGGTCACCCAGAAAGGGCGGAATCTTCGAGGCAAAGGTGCAGCAAGACTTCTAAGCGCACTGCGCCGCATGCATCATTTATTTTCGAAATTACCATTTTCCTTCTCCTGTGCATGTAAAAAGGTGTCGAGGAAGTGAAACCTTGTAAGCGGGGAACTTGTAATTTTACAAAAGTGAATGCATGTGGCAGCACCTTGTCAGCAGCAGTCTGCAGCACCTTGCCTTGGAAATTCCCTCCCTTCGAGGGGACTGACTTTGGTTCCTCGTTGTCCGTTCGCGCCGTTTCGGTCGGCGGGCGACTGTCAGCTGTTGCCGTCAACAAACGCCCATCGACGTAAACATTACGACGCTCCCAGACAGTCGCGCAATATTTTACTTTATTTTAGTTATTGGGCCTTTGCCTTTTAGTATTGACGTACCTGAATGAACTAGGAAGACAATGGCTGACTACGGGAATGTCAGAACGAAAAAGCTGGTCTTTAAAGGCGAAAAGTCAAAGTATGTTGTCACCCAAGTAGCATAACCTATTACCCAGGATTTAGTATATTTCCAGACAAATCAAAGTTTATTCTGTCTCATCATCTCGCCAAAGCAAACAGAGATTCCCAAATATTTTTTCCGAAAATAGATCAGCTGCTGTAAAATTTGTTGTATTTCTGTGATGAGATTCTGTTAGGTGTGATGCTGTTTGAACGCTGTTCGAGTCAAATAATTTCAATGTCTTTGTCTTTGTCACAGGTCTAAAAAGCGCAAGCACAAGAAAGACAAAGCAGAGACTCAAGAAATTCGTGATCTTGTAGATGAAGATGCTGTCCAACATGGTCAGACTAGCTGTTCATGTATCCCATCATTGTGGATACTATAATGTCTTCATTTATACATTAAAATAAAATAATTTCTTTCTTTCAGGAGGGTGGCCGCATTGCAAAACGGTTCTGCAGATAACTGGTTCCATAGCGATTGAGTTTGGTAACCAGACCTACATTAAAGCCCTTGACAATGGGCTTTTCACTTTGGGTGCTCCCCATGATCATGGTATTGCAAGAAGTCAAAAATCTACTTAATTAAAAAATTTATGTACAGTATATCTATTTTGTCTCATTATGTTGTTCTATTTCGGTAGGTGATGGCCCTGCACCCGAAGAAATTCTCACCGCATTCCCTGTTAACGAGACTAAAGTAGCAATCAAATCAGGCTATGGAAAGTATTTACGAGTGGACTCTGATGGGGCTGTGACAGGACGTTCTGATGCTGTGGGTCCAATGGAACAGTGGGAACCTATTTTTGAAGTAAGTTCCTCATATTTGTAAGATAGTTGTAAATGACTTGTGTTCTAACTGGAGACTCTTGCCACTTGTAGGACGGGAAAATGGCGTTACTTAGTGCCACTGGGTGCTTCATGGCAGTAGATCCTGAAAATGATGATGTTGTTGCTACCAGCCGCAAAGTGGGGCCGAATGAAATCCTTAGAGTTCGATCAAGTGCGCCTCAAGACAACACTGGGGAGGAGGAAGGTCCTTCAGAAGAAAAGGGAAACATCGGAGATGTTGAAGAGAATTATGTGTAAGGATCTATCCATTTTACTTTATGTGGACTTATGTGACTTGTTGTTCCCTTTATCCTTGTACAACATCACATTTCTTTCTTTTAAGGCGGAAATTCCAGAAGTTCCAAGATAAGAAGTTGAGGATGGATACATCTGATAGGACCGTCTTGAAGAAGGCACGAGTTGAAGGTGATCTTCATGAGGCTCTCTTGGATAGAAGAAGCAAAATGAAGTCTGACAGATATTGTAAATGAGGAGAAGTTGCAGCAATTTACTGAAATAAATGAATTATAGTGTGTAACTAAAACATAGGTCTACAAACACTCAAATAAAGACAAATTTAAAATAATTTATTTGTCTCACAAAATATAGGAATTTGACAAACAGGACACATTTGTCGAATTAAGTAGACAGCAAAATGATAATCTAGCATAAAGGAGGGAAAATTTGATTCATTACAAAATTTGTTTAGATTTACAGGATGTTGTTTACCAACAGGCGCAATCACAAAGAACATGGCACCTTGCTAATTTGGGAAAGGCCCACAGTTATCGCCATATCACTTGTGCGCTCGTCATGTAGCGAAAGCACTATCACAACAGCCCAGTAGTAAAATATAGAAGGGTGTAGAAATCAACTTCCCTTACCAGAACTTGACCCTTTCCCAGTCTGCTCTCGTGCTGCTTTCAGCCACTCTACAAACTCATCCAACATCACAGGCCCTGTTTGGATAAACAAAACAAGTGATTATACTAACAATCTAAACACTATTTGACAAACAACATTTAAGTGTAGTGATGACTTACATGCTCCATCCACATCATAGTTCATTAGATCACTTTGAATGGAACGAGAAAACTCAAGGATATTACACCACTGATCCTTATTTATTACTTTGTACTTAGATTGTTCCAGAAAATTATTGAATTGGCTGTACAAGCTCCATTGCCGCCCCAAAAGTAACTGGAGCATAGCACGAGCTGTTTCCATATCCATACTACGTTGGTCTTTGTCCTGAACACAAACAATACAGGATTGGTTCACTACAAGAAGTAGGCAAATTCATAATTATAATTCACATTAGTGCATTTCTTACCCTTGCAAAATCATATGCATATCTGTAAATGCTTTTAAAAGTAGAGGGTTCATGTAGAAATGATTTGAGGTAGTCTAATTTATTCTGCACTTTGGTATGTGTGTCGCACCTGGAAATATGAATAAATGACTGATTTCAGAAACAGTCCATATTGTGACGGCAGAAGAGGGATAAAGCAAAGTCTTACTGTAACTCTGTTAGTCCTTTGGTCCACTCCTGCAAGGTGAAAAAGCCCATCTGTCGTGCATTCATTTTCCACGCCAGAACAAGCATGACTACATTTTCTGGTTCAACACCAATATCCTCACAAAATTTCTCCATACCTTCAGGACCTAAGGGAAAAACAAGGAAAAAAAATACACATTTTTAAAAAAAGTTGTTCATTGCTGACATATTAGTGATAGACAAACTGAAATGAATGAGATATTTTAGAGACTCACCTAGCGTGTCAGGGTCATCTGGAGTAGTATACTCCCGAAACCAAGCTATACATCTTTTTTGGCTGAAAGATGATATGTCTTCTGCCTTTGAATGGCGCCTAGTGCTGAAAAATAAAGGAAAGAAACACAAATAATAAGTTAGGGGGGTAAAAAATAAATCTTAACTGCACCAAAAAATACAAAATAAAATTAACACCACATTTGACAGAAATATATGTAGTAGATAAGTTTCATAACTGGCTTTCTCTAATCCTCTTCATCAAATTCTAGCTGAGATAACCTCACATCTGAGAAATATTTCATTGCATAGGTATTAACCCAAGGCAAAGGGCAACCTCAAACACAACTGAGCATACTGTAAAAAAAATCTTCCTACTTTCAATGAAAAGTAATATTAAACTAGTAAAATATTATTGGACCTCAAAGAAAATGTCAAGACACTGTTTGAAGGTAAATACCTATCCATGACAACCCTGACCCACAGATTACACTCACACAAACACAGCCACTCACTGGGCTTCTGGGCCCTACTGCTGCCAGCCAGGCTATTTATAACTCAGCCACCCAGTACCCTGCCACCTCCTCTATCTTAACCTCTACCTACCAAAGCACAAACTATTTGCTTCACAGCATAGAAAAAGTTATGGATCATTTGTTAAATAAATATTAAAAATTTTCAAATCAATTTCGGGAACGCAAGCTATGATAGAACATGAAAGAATAGTAAGAAAACTGAAGCAACAGACGACAGAAACTCACCTTGAGCTTGTGACACGCCTTTTACTACAATGCCTGTCATCATCACCTGGGCCCATGTCGGCAGCTGAGCGTCGCTTGCCTCGAGGCATGGCAATAGCGAACGCCCGTGGTGGTTCTAGCCTTCTGGACCCGTCTCTTGGGTTATCGTAATCCTGTTAGGAAACACTTAAAATTGGAAACAACGCTGAGTTCAAATCATAAGGAAAATAATTTTTCAAAATTACCTGAAATGGTTCACAATTTATGAATTGATGGAATGTGAAATTGCTTTGTTGATCCGTTTTGAAAGAGGTGATGTGACAAGGAGGAGAAATTCTTCTAGTCTTCAAGAGACATTTTACCTTAAGACAGAGACAAAGCAATGATTTGATGAGTTTCTCTACTCAAGTAGATGGTAACAACATAACTATGGGCTTGAACATTATTGATTAAAGCCATAAAAGGTTGGTAAATGCCTTATTAATATTATTATAAGGAATGAGTCTTCACCTAAGAGAAAAATTTGCTCTCTAATAAAAAATAGGAAGTGATCACATGAAAATTTGTTAAGTTAAAAACAATGAGACTATTTTAGGAATGTGAAGCAAATAATTTAAGACACTTTGTCTGAGATAAGCTATGGGAAATCAGAGGTAAAGTTTAAGATGAAATGAGTGAGCATATGTAATGTTCACTCATAAGGTAGGTGCCAAAATGCACATTGCTAAATGAAAGAAATGGTGAAGTAGAATTTCTTAGCAGCACTGATGGTGTTAGGCTTGAGAATGAGGATCATAACCTAAAATTATCTGGGGACTTTGCAAATGCACAAGGCGTGGCCCGACTCTATTTTATAGGGCCAGCTACTCCAGGAAACAATTTATACACTTTGAAAACGAAAAATTCGGAGAAGATGCAAAATACATCACAATGAAAACAAAGCTTGTACTGCAATAGTTGATAAGGACGAGCTAGAGTAACAGAAATTGGAAAGTAAGAGACAACTAACGTGTACGCTACTTCTGAGGTGGTACGAATATTACGAAACACAAAAGTCGGATCATAAACTATGGGTAATGAGTCATAAAAACTGACTTGTAGTTGGAAAACTTGGTCAACAGCTTCACGAAAGTGAAGAGGATGGGCAAGCGGTGCACGAAAGGGTTAGCAAAGCCTAGACACATCCCGAATTTCAGACCGCGCTCAAAACGAGAGATAAGACACAGCGAAACGATTCCTATCGAAATCAGACTAATGAATCACACTCAAATAACCATAAATTGCGTGTTTAGTCCTCCAGATGAAGTCCTGCCGTGGCCGTGGGCAATGAATGTGTCAAGTGGAGATTCGAAAACAAATGAAAGAAGATTGGAAAGGAGGGGGAGGGGGAGGCAGGGGGAATGCGGGGGTGGTTGGAAAGGGAAACGCTGTGGGCGCGGTGCACGGAGTATCGACGGCGACGGCCTCGCCGTCGACCGCCGTCGACTGCGCGCGCGCGCGGCGAGCGGAGATACTCCTTGCAGGCGCCACAATGTTTTGAACCAAACCTACCCAACGCGCTGGAGGTTAACTTTGTAAGTTAAGGCCCTTTCTTACCAGTCGTTTTACTCGTGCCACCATTATCATGTCATCTTATTGGTCTACTCGAAACTCTTATTGAAACAGGGGGACTTTACCGTGTAAAGCCGACATGTCGAAGGAGCGCATATACAGTGTGACAAAGGCAGACATCAAATGTTGTGCTAAAAACTGTACCACCAATGAAGCTGACAGATATTTCTTCACTTTTCCTCCATGTGATGTAACAGATGAAAAAAGTATTGAGCGGTAAGATTTGCTCTCTGTCTAGCTGGTAACTCATTGCACTTGCACTGTCTCTGTGCTAGCGCTAATTCAATTTTCTTATTCACAGATGTCGCTCCTGGGTCAGAAACACTGGCAATATTGATCTACTGAAATGTAAATCTAGTGAGTTGGCTGGTAAATTTTACTTGTGCTGTCACCATTTTGCTGACTGGACTGCTGTCTACAACAACGATGGCAGCCAACGATACATAGCCGCTGATGCAGTGCCAACCATTTTTGATTCTCAGCCTCTAAGCAAGAAACAGTTGAAACCTTTTCCTGTGACCCCTCAATCATCAGAAGAATCAGATGAACGAGATGAACCAGGTGACTCATTCAATAATTGTGATATGTACCCATTAGGGTGAACCAGAATTCACAGTTCGTTATCGTGCATTCTGTAAATATCAAATGTAACCTACTGCTCATCTATATTTTTTCATCTATTTTTTATTTCCACTTTAATCAGATATAAGCTTGGATATCCCTCTTCCTGAAAGTATAGACTGTGTTGAGAAAGATACAAATGGTGATCCGATACCTGAGCCTGAGCCAGACCGAGCACGTGTTGCTCCCACTCTTGATCATCTTGAATCAATAAAAACTGAGACAGATGATACCAATGTGAACAATGGTGATACAAGGTATTAATGATAGGAATAGTTTTAAATGTAAGGATTTTATTGTATATTTTACTAATGTTTTGTTACATTTCTATTGTAGAAATTCTGAAGCTCAGGTGTCAAAACAAAACAAGAGTTCTTCCGAATCTGAAAATTTCCAAGTGGATTCAAGCCCGACGGTAAAAAAGAACTCAGTCAAGAAAAAGAAATCCTCAATAGAGAAACCATCTTCTAGACCCTCACGGAAAGCAAAGCAGGATGCAGTTAACAGGATAAGCAAACAATTCATTCCCGCCAAAGATTCTGAAGATTCTAATCCTCAAAATTCCCCTGAAGAGGTTGACAAAAATGCACAGAATCTCTCTAAGTCTCCCAACGGCATTGCCAATACTAACTCTGAAAATCCACCTCCCAAAAAATTAATTCTGTCAACCTCATCAATGTCACCAGAAAGAGCCTCTGCTAAATATAGGATTGTCTCTAAAGATGTAGTCTCAAAACTTGGAACTGTAGTGTCGTTGAAGCCTTCTCCCGTAGTATCAAATAATTTTGAGGAGCGTAGGAAAAATATGACTGTACTTCAAGAGCCTGGATCAAAATCAAAGCAAGATCAGCAGATTCACTTAATTGTTTCACCGCCACCAGTGTCTCAGGCTTATCTTAGTACGGAGTCCATGGGCTTAAGATCGATTCTTCCAAAACCTAGCAATGTTTCATCATTTATTGATAAACCTCCCATTACTGCTTTCAATTTAATAACTGTGCCAAGAATAGATAGAAATTTCACCCTGATTCTTTTGATAGTGTGACACCTATTGCAAGGTCATCTTCTACTCAAACAGAAACAAAGAGCTCTGAACGATTTGTTCTTAAAATATTAGATTGTGACAGTAAGTTATCTGTCTTTACAGGGCTACCTTCATATGATGTGTTAGATAAAATAACGGATGCTACACTTAGAATGGTAATACGTAACAAGACAACAATCAGTGACATTGAGCCAACTATGCGGTTGTGGATTATGTTAACGTGTACGAAGTTCATGCTTGGTATTTCTACTGAAGCACTGTCTGTCATGTATGACCTTTCTATAGATGAATGCCAAAAAGTTGTTGAAAAGACAAGCCTCTTTTTAAGGAAAACTTTGTCATTGCCTGACTGCCAAAAATATGTGTTTATGATACCCAATCAAGTTTTAAATGGTATAGCTGACTTTTCAGACTCAATGATAAGCTAAAGCTTCGTCTTGTTGAAAAGTTATTCCAGGTCTAGTATTTTTAATTTAATGACCTCGAATTTTAACTTGTATTATCTCTCACCTCTCAATTATTTTGGTTTTAGAAAGCAAATATTGATAGCTAGTTTTTTTTATCTTATTTTTCCTACAATTTTTTTTGTTGTGTTTTCCAATGAAGTTTTGTACCTTTTGATATCTCCATTCTTCTTGGCATTAAATATGTTTTGTAGTGAGTCCATTGTGTTATTAAACTATGTACATTTGTCTAACATCTTTGACATAATTACCTGACACCCATATTCATTAGCAGTCTATCACCAAATCCATACCCAGCCTCCAGAATAGGAAGGGGGACTCCCCGGTAGGCGGCCCACGCCTAGAGCGCTCCTTCGGCGCGAAGAATTCAATTCGTCGTGCCCGGTCCGGCCCGCGCAGCTGACCGACAGGGCTGGACTCTAGTCCACTGTAGGACGCTACCCCAGCACTCGCTGAGCCTTGGGCGGCCTTACGCCGTGCCGGCCCTACGCCTAGGTTCTGTGGCATAGGGTCCTCCTGGCGCTCCTGCGGGGCCCGGCGGCGTGCGTCGGAGACGTCGGGGACCCTCCGGCGGAGACTTGGAGACTGGCCGACTCGGCGCGGACGCAGAGCGCAGAGCAACGCGGAGCAACGGGGGCGGAGCGGAGCAGGCGGAGCGGCTCAGTCTGCGTCGGTCCTCGGTCCCCGTAGGTCGGACCTGCTAGATCCCCGCAGCAGCAGCGCCGGCACCGCCCCTCGAGCGGCAAGGCGAGCGAAGCGCCGAGCGCCGCGGCGCGCAGCAAGGCCGGCGAGGCCAGCAAGGCCACCCCCACGGCGCCAAGCACGGCGCCCCGACCGCCCCGACCGCGCCAGGCCCAGGCTGCCCCAGACGCCGCGCGCCACCAAATCCGCTGGACGTACCGGACACACCGCCCCGCGACGCCACGCGACGCCACGCGACGCCACGCGACGCCACGCGACGCCGGTCACACCTTGCTGGTCACGCCTAGGCGGTCACGCGCGTTCGCCGCTCGCGTCGGCGAGTCCCGCGGCGGCCGCCCCCGCCAGCACTGACCTCCTCAAAGCAGTGCGCCGCCGTCCCCAGAGGCCAGCCGTCGAGTCGCCCCACGGTGGTGCTATGAGTGACAATGAGCGATTTTGAACAGCAGCAACGAGTGTCTCTGTGCGGCGCGTCCGAGACGTGGCAGTGACGGGAGTGACAATGCGCGCGTAGCCCGGAGGTTCAGCGTGACAGTGTGACAGCAGCAGCATGCCGCCGCGACGCCCCGGACCTGCCTTCGCGTCCGCCCTGCTGGCCTGCGCCTTGGCGGCCTTGGCCTGCGCTGCGGTGGCCGGTAAGCACCGAGGACGGCAAGGACTGCAAAGGAGTAGACGACCCCGTCATTAATTTCACTCGCAACGCGGCCGAGCCCAGCGACTCGCAGGGGGAACGGGGAGCAGCTTTCTGCACTACTGTACTTTGGCAACCTTGTGAGCAAACGGTTAATCTGCGACGCACCTGTGAATAAGCTCGCTTACCGCGCAGCGCGCACCGCGCGCGGGTTACACCTCCAGAAAGAACCGCGGCGGGGAAAAGAAGTCGGGTAAGCCGATGAGCCCGCGATGCCAAAGGATCTCTCTCTCTTTCTCTCTGTCGCGCTCGTGGGGCGTTCCGGAGGGGCGCGAGAGAGACGGCGGCGAGACGATCCTTCGGAGTCCGGCGGCGCAGCCTCGGCGGCCCGAAACCCGAGCCGAGGCCGCCGAGGCTGCGCCGCCGGATCTGCATACGACGAGACGGCCTCCATGGCGACGACGGCGTGCTCTGGACAGAGCCGTCCGGATGTGCAGCCGGACGGGGATCCCCGTCAAGGCGGTGCAGTGCGGCGTGGCGGAGCGGCGCTGGCGGAGGCGAGCCGACGCCACTGACGCCGTGCTGCGCGGTCAAGGCGAAGGTCGTTGTTTCTCTGGGGGCGGGGCGAGGTGTGGCGGGGCGGTGTGGGGCGGGGCTGCTGGGAACTCCTCCCCGCGGGACAGTTTGGGGAGGGCGCTGAACTGCTGGAATGTGTGTTGGGCTGCGGTGGTGTTGGGGTTGAGAGTACTGAGGGTCACAGCACACTCAGCGACGCGGTGCGAAATAAAATTTGTAGGGCCGGCTGAGATTGAATGCCACCACCCCATCAAGGGCTAGAAGCCGCGCCCCCACCCTCACCTCGGAGTCGCTTAGTGTTTGTCCCTTCCATTGGCACCAACACGTGTTTGATTCGGACCCGCTGTTAAATGACCGTAGAACCCCAAACGTGTCTATGGCTATGTCTGCCCGTGTTCGCCCGTGTCCACGGCAGTCCACGGACAGCCCTTCCCGGCCCACTGTAGGTGCGTGCCGCCCACATCCAGGAAGGGGCGCCCAGGCAACAGGTTTCAATGCAGCCGCCGCCGTCAAAGCGCGCGGCCTGACGAAGTGCCAGGCGGTCGTTACGTCATGAGTGAATCTCTTAGCGGTGTCCGCCCTGCCTTTGGCCTGCCTTGGCCTGCCGTGGCGTGCCGTGGCGTGCGGCAACCGGAAGGAAGGATGCTCCACCCCGAGTCGGAGTCGGTGGGCGGTGGGCTCGGTCAGAAGCCAAGCCACCGAGCCGCGGCCTAGAGAGGGACAGCGAGGGGGAGAGAGGGAGAGAGAGAGAGAGCGGGGGCTCAGGCCGACTGAAGCACCTCGGATTGCTGAGCCCTGCTGCTCGGTTTTGTCTTATTACCACCCAGTGCCTGGGCTGCTCTGGGCTAAGGCCTGGGGCCTTGGTCGGGGCGGTGCGGGGCGCGGCGGGGCGCGGAAGAGACACCGGAAGTGAGAGGGATGGACCGGCAGGGTGCGCGGGGCGGCGGGGGCGGGGCTGCGGCCGAGTTCGCGTGCGTTTACGGAAACGACCCCTGAGGGTTGCGGCAACACGCCGCCAGTAGAGTCGGCATGCCGTCGCTCCGTCTCTCTCGCTCCGATTCGGCTCTCCCCTCGAACGCGAGAGAGACGGGGCGACGAAAGAGCCCTGTTCGGAATCCGCCCGCAGCGCAGCCCGTCGCACGCAAAGCCAGGCGGGCCGCTCTCTTTAGGAAGGCTGTAAACGACTTTGTTGATGCCTTCAGGGAGGTTTCCAACTTTTCTTTCCTTGACACTTTAATATTCATGTGTGCCTGTTGTTGTTGCCGACGGGGGAGGAATGCCGAGGCGGCCCTCCCTTGCAACATGTGTGTGTGTGAGTGTGTGTGTGTGAGTTTGCGCGCTGCCGACTCGACGGAAAAAGAATGCGGCAAGGGCTGTGGCGTGTTGTGGGTGTATAGACACTAGGAGATAGTGTCATCGAGATTCTCATCTGGTTGTATCTCTCGCGCCTCCCGCGCCTCTCGCGCCGTACCGCTCCGCTGACTGGTCCAGCGGCAGCGGCTTTCGTCGCTCTGTCTCTCTCGCTCTCATGGGCCCGCGGCCCGTCCGGGGGTGTGTGACGCACGGCCACGTGGTGGGTAGGCCAACCCGCAGACGGGCTTCCCACCATCACCATGCACGCCATGCACCTGCTGCGCCTGCACTGCTCTGACTCTCTCCCTGCTCCCTGTACTCCTGACTGCAAACACAGCGCGGGCCGGCCTGTGGCGCCAGGCGGCACTCTCTCTCTCGCACCCACGGGGCGTCGCGAAGGGGCGCGCGCGCGTGAGAGAGAGACAGTGGTGCGGTAGCGAGGCTTATCAGCGCAGATAGGGCGGCAGACGCGAGCTAATTCGCCTGCACCTCCACAGCCTCCAGTGGCACGGCGGGCACGGCGGGCACGGCGGCGGGCCTCTGGGCTGCGTAACTCTGCCGCCGATTGCACTGCCACGAAAGCGAATCCGCCGGGGAGGGGGGGGGGGCTGCGCCGGCTCCAATTGCCGCCACGTGCCCCTCTAGACCCCACCGAGCCCCGCCGGGCCCCGCTAGCCCCGCTAGCCCCGCTAGGCCGGAGCGTCCACAGTGTCCACACAGAGTCCGTCGGCGCGCGTGCTCAACTTGTCAATTGAGTTTGTCACCATTTGTCAAATTGGTTTGATTCTTCCCAGTGACTCCACTGCCACGGGCCGATGATTGGGCCCCGGAACGATCTGTCCGTCCGTCCGTCTGTCAGTCTCTCTCTCTCTCTCTCTCTCTCTCTCTCTCTCTCTCTCTCTGCTCCCCGCAATCCTCCACGGCGCGGCGCTGCTCACAGACAGCCGGTAAAAATAGCGGCGCGGTAAATATTTGAGGTGCGCCTCAGATGAAGAAGGGAGTCGGTGCGGTTCTGCCTAGTCTGACTCGGCGTCGCCCCGTCGCCCCGTCGCCCCGTCGCCCCGTCGCCCCGTCGCCCCGTCGCCCCGTCGCCCCGTCGCCCCGTCCCTCTCGCACCGCGACGGGACGCCCCGCGAGTGCGAGGGAGACAGAGCGTGGCGGCGTTGGGCGGCGTGCCCCAGGTCCGCGGCACACGACAATCTCGCCCAATGTAGCGAAAGCGAGTCTGAGGGCGGCGCGGGAAATGTGGAGCGTCTCGAGAAAGACAAGAAGAACTTTAATTAAATCAAAAACAAAAACAACAAGTGGAGCCCGTCGAGCCGTGAGCCGGCGCTCACTTCCCCCTGGAAGCGACATGGCCAACCCCAACCCAACCCCAACCCAACCCCAACCCAACCCCAACCCAACCCCAACCCAACCCCAACCCAACCCCAACCCCCAAACCCCCAACCCAACCCCAACCCAACCCCAACCCAACCCCAACCCAACCCCAACCCAACCTCAACCCAACCCCAACCCAACCCCCAAACCCCAAACCCCCAAACCCCAACCCCAACCCAACCCCAACCCAACCCCAACCCAACCCCAACCCACCCCAACCCAACCCCAACCCAACCCCAACCCAACCCCAACCCAACCCCAACCCAACCCCAACCCAACCCCAACCCAGCCCCAACCCAACCCCAACCCTACCCCCAAACCCCAACCCCAACCCAACCCCAACCCCCACCGCACCGCACCGCGCTCGGTTGTAGGTCGGGATGGGCGGCATCCCGACGTCCCCCCACAAGATTAGTCATCCAACGATCGTAAATCTCATCCTTTTTTTGTCTCTGCATATTCTCCCCCGCCTCTCTCCCTCCCCCCTCTCTCTTTCTGTCGCGCTCTCGTGAACGGAAGTTGTGACCCGAGTCCCCTCATCCCGCATGCTGCCATGCT